TTCTAAAGATTAAATACCTTTGCAGGTCTCATGGTCTCCTCTTCAGGCTCACCATCACTTGGCTCCATGTCCTCTCCACAAGAGCTAAAATTCACACCAGAAATGACATGGTTTCAGTAAACTTGTAAACACATTACTTGTAAACTTCAGTAAACATCTGTAAACACAAACCTATAAAGATGCTGTGCTAATATATTTGTAATTTCTTTCCTCACATTTCACACAAGTATTTAAAGCATTTTTTTCCTCCTCAAGAAAAGACTGTGCATGGCCCATTCCATGAGACACAGCCTAGTTTATCCTCTCTGTATATTAATCAAAAGATCTAGTGCTAAATAATTACTTCATTATATCATGCACCTCAAAGCACATATTTTAAGAGCTGTATTATACCTTGCTAACAATCTGCAAGCAAAAACACTTTCTCAGAAGCCATTTGTAACAAAATTTTTGCAGCCAAAAGTAGTTCTAAATACCAGCTTAACAAAGAAAGCTACAAGTCACTCACTCATTCCAGTGTATCCTCTTCCTCCTACGACATTTGCCTTCAGAATTGTGAAGGAACATGGAATCGGGAGTGAAGGGATTGATGTTCACATGAGGTGTTTGTCTAAAATCTTCTTCTTGCTTCTCAGATTTCCCAACATTCATAAATAGCGAGCCCCCTCGAAGTTTGACTGAGCTGGAGCCTAAACCTTGTGCTTTAGAAAGCAAACTCTATATTAAAAAAAAAAAAAAAAAGAAAAAAAAGACATTTATAGCCTTGATATTGCCTTAGACATAAAACAGTCAGATCATGCTTGAAGCCAACATTACAATATTGTCTAATTAAAGTCAGCATCAATTGTTTAAATATCTGCATTTCCAACAAAAATAATTTTTAAGAAACTATTATGCTTTGTAATCTACACAGAAACAGTTTAAGTAAACCAGTATTAAACTATTTTTCAAAAGACAAGAAAAATGATAAYGATGAGAGTAATCTTTTTCTGTCTATCATCGCTTAAACTTATTGGACAAATCTTTTCCCATTAAATGAACACAGATGAAACCTAAGGAAGATCCTGTACTGTATCACTACGATTTCCACATGCATAATGTAGGAGTTAGATCAGACAGGAAATAATCTTTGGTTTCTAGAAATTTAGGTGACAATCTTAAAAAATTAGAAAATGCAACATGTAATATTGATGCACAGGTGCATCTTCTTGAGCCTACAAAAAATTGTTCAAGAATTGACGGTATGGCTGCACTGTCAGTTAAATATTCAAAACTGATCTTTTGGGTGGTAATTTGCCAGACCAGGCATTTTCCAGGCACATGATGAAACCTCTCCCACTTACACTTGGAAGTCTGCACCTCAATCCCCTTCATCCTAGTGAGGATGCCAATGACTGGATTACAAGCAGGAGTATCACCTTATCCTAACAACACCCTTCAAAATAAACATTTGACACAACTAAAGCCTACACAACAATAGGGAAGAACGCTCAGAACATGGGAATTTCAAACGCAATCCTCAAATCTGCCCCAGATGGAAGACCTTTAACTCACTCTGCATCTCAGGACACGTTTCTGTACTTGCACTGGATACCTGAACCAACTGATTTTTCCAAAGATAACCCCTCCAAGATAACCTATGCAAAATCTGGGCACCTAATCTAGGAATACTGCTGAAATGTTCTGTTAAAAACGTGTTTTTAGTATCACTTTCCACCAATCGTTTGCATCTCTGAAGCATCTGCTCCTGACAAGGTATAGAATCTCACTAATTTTACCTTTTTGAAACTCGAACCACTGATTTCTACCATTTAAACCTCACGGGAGATGGAAGCTATAGAAAACCAATTAACAAGGTTGCCTTCCTCGCACCTTAAGTCAGTTGTTTTCCATCTATAGTCTATAGACCCCAAGGAGATTATCCCTGGGGATTATCCCAGGATTACTTCTAAAGGGCTATATGAAAAGTAATGAAGAAAGGAAGCCAATTATCACTAGATTTAAATTCACTATACGGGGTTTAACACAGCATCGAGTTCAAAAGTTGAAATGTCCTTTAAAAGTCTGTTATTGACAAAGTTAAGAGCTACCCATCTATCCCTCTAAGCTTTGGAATACACCAGTTTAACAGCATCGACTACTCAAACAGCCTTTTACGTTTGATGCACGATTGCAGACACTGAATCAGCGCTGGCACAAGGCACCACGATAGCAACAGTACAACCCAGGATCACAGAATCCATTAGGCTGGAAAAGCCCTCTGACATCATCGAGCCCAGCCTATGACCCAACACCACCGTGTCACTCAGACCACGGCACTGAACGCCAGCTCCGCTCTTTCCTTCAACACCTTCAGGGACGGTGACTCCACCACCTCCCTGGGCAGTAAATACCTACGTCTGATCACCCTTCCTGCGAAGAAATTCGTCCTAGGACGTGCCAGTTCACCGAGAGACACGCAAGAGCAAACCTCCAAGTCGAGCTTTAACTTTCTGGCTACACCCCTACCAACGCTCACTCATCAGCAAAGCACTTACTTCATGGGTTTTAATACTCCAGGCTCGCACTTTTTAAATGTATTTTCGAGAAAACAATGCCAAACCCAGAAAACTTTTTGGTTTACATTCTAACCAATATTCTAATACATGAGTAAGCGGCTCGCCCCGTGCCCGTGTCCCGTCGGGTCGGCGGCACCGCCCCGTCCCCGCCCCGCCCGGAGCCCCCGGCGCGATCCCCCCGCCGTTACATAACGGACCGGCCGGGCCGAGCCCCCGCCCCGGGCTCACCTTGGGTGTGTGCGGCGTGTCGAACAGGCGCAGCTTGCGGAGGGTCTTGTGCGGCGGCGTGCCCGGATAGTCGGGCAGCGGCGAGCCGCGCTCCTCGCCCCGCGCCCCCCGGTACCCGCTGGCCGCGGGGTGTGGCGGGGAGCGCTCGCAGCAGCGCCGGCCCTTGTGCGGGGCCAGCGGCGAAGGCGAGTCGAGTAAGAAATAGGCTCCGGGCGACTTGACCGGCGAGGAGCCGAAGCCCTCCTCCTCCCACGAGTCTCCCTCGTCCGGTAGCGGCGCCGCCGCCGGCTCCATCTCCTCCTCCTCCAGCAGGGGCGGGTCGCTCCGCTTCGGGGTGCGCGCGGCCGAGAGCGGCGAATCCGCCTCCTGGAACGCCGAGTCCTCACCGGTGCTGTTGGCGCTGCTGGTGCCGCAGCCTTCCTCCTCCTCCTCTTCCTCCTCCTCCTCGCAGTCGCTGTGGCCGCTCAGGAACAGCAGCTTCTGCCGGATCGGGGCCGCCGCTCGCCGGGCCGAGACGCGCCGCGGCGGCGCCGTCCGCTGCAAACTGAGGAAGCTCATGGCGGCCCGGCCGCTCCCGCTGCGCTGCCCGCGCTCCGCTCGCGTGCGCCGCCGGTTCGGCTCGTGCTGCCCGCGAACGGCCCCACCGCGCGCCGTTCGGACTCCGCGGCTTTCCCGCGACCGTTGGTCACGTGCCGCGCACGCCGGCCAATCGCACCCGCCCACCGGGTTTGAAAACACGGCGCGCGGGGGCGGGGCCGACGGCGGTCCCGTCACGGGCCGCTTTGGCGCGAGCGGTGGGGCGGGGCCGGGGCCAGGGCGGGGCCCGGCCCCGAGGCGGCCGCGCGGACGTGTCCGCCCGTGAGGCGCGCGCCCGGCGCCATTTTATCCCGGGTCGGCCCCGCCCGGGCAGTGGAAACCGCCGGGCGGCGATGGTCAGGGAGCGCCGGGATCGCCGTGGGGACAGCGCCCTGCCTAGCCCGGAGAACTCCGGGACACTGCGGCGCCCTGCCAGGATGGCGCTCCCCTGGAAAGTGGTCTTGCTCCCATTGAACTGAGCACTCAAAAATCTCCATAATAATAATATTACAGTATTTAATGTATAACAGTAATATAATAACAGCATCCTCTGCGCCAGTTAAAGTCTTCGTTTTGTTTTTTTTTTTTTTAAGCGCAACCAAAGAACTGTATTTCCATTGACTCGATGCACGTGGTTTAAAGTGCAGTCAAGCAGGCGCCTCAGAACAGCCCGTGTTTACTCCTGTAAGACGCTTCCAAGGGGACTCAGTCCCCGCACAGCAAAGGCAATGGATGCTGCATGCTGTTTTTCAGACGCATCTCCGTACAGGTGCCACCACTGTGTCTTGGCTTCTCTCGTCTGGTAACGCCCAACCAATAAACCTGCCCTCTCTCTCGTGAACCAAATCGCCTTAAGAGAACATCCTCCTTGGGTAACAAAGCGTTTTATTCCCCAGCCCCATTAGTCCCAGCCCACAGAACCCACATAAACTCTGCTCCCGATGGCTGTTTGGGCACGCACCCCACGCCCCGGACAGACAGGCAGTGCCAGGATTCACTTCTCAGGGCCGAGCACACGGCAATACTCAGACCCCGAAGCACAGCCCCTGCCCGGCCTCCTCCCCAAAGCTCCCCCTCCTTGCCCGGCAGACAAATCCTCATGTGCTGCCCATAGCACACTCCTACGAGAGCGGTGCCTCGGACCCAAAGGGATGTCAGTGTCCTGTACTCCACTTCTGATAGCAACCCCCCCTTTTTTAACCTCTTCTGTCTGAAAATCTCTTTGCAGAGAGCTGTCCTGTTTTTCAGGACAAGTAGAGATGAGCCACAGGAACACAAGTTTTGAGATTTGTATTTTGGAGAAAACTGAAAACTAGTTTCAGAAAATTGAAAGTAGTCAACATAACCTATGAAAATGGGACAGAGACAGGGCTACATCAATCCAAGAGTAAACACACTTCATGTGCAGTAATTTAGAATCACAAGAATATCCTATTAAAAATACTCATTTTTTAAAAATTAGATGAACTGTATAGCAAGCACTAACTGAAGCATTCAAGTTTTAGAACAGATGATGTAAGAGAAAGCTACTTAAAAATACAATCTCCACTTCTTTCTCAGTTCAGAGGCCACAGAAGGAGATGCAAAGCAATTCTTATAAAGTGACTCAAAACATTCCAGCCACTATCTGTGGCTTCAGTTATTTGTGAAGTTTCCTTTTCTTTGAAGAAGTTTAAAGACTGTAAGCTTTTGAATAAATCCCTCCCCCTGTAATGTCAAAGCTGCTGTTTCCTTCCCAAACTCAGCCTTAATATAACTGATGCTGCACTGCTTTCTGGAGTCTACAGACACAGGTTTTAGTAARAGCAAGTGGCAAACTGAAGTTCAAAAGCCCTGTTGTAATTGAATTTATCTAATTGCTAATCACTGGAACAGTTGAGTGACAAAATTGGGTGGAACAATCAATCCAAACAATCAGTTTGTACAAAGAAGGTATTTCTGAAGACAGATACAAGAAGAAAGGGAAAAAAAGAATAGAGAAAGAAGGAAACAACAGTAACACAATGATAGTAAAAGAAAGTTTATTTTCATTCTGAAATCAATTAGGAAAGTATTGAATAAATAGGTAGCTCACAAAATGCATAGCTGCTATGTAAGGATTCACAAGCTCTATATATGTGCTGCTTTGAACTTGCATCAGTTGTTCTTCTGCTGTAGTCTGACAGACCCATGAACAGTTGTGTTGGAGAAATGATTTTAGCCCAAGACTGAATGTGGCAACTCTGCTTCCCTGTCCCCTGTGACACCTGTAATTAGCATTAGAAGCCCTAGGAACAGCCTGGCTACAGAGCCGACAGAGCCAATTCCCTCACAGAGAGAACTTGAGCAATGGATACCACCACAGGAGGAAGAGAGTTGAGCGAGGAGGGGCTCTGCAGGCTTCCACTGTGCCGCACTCTCAGAGCCAAATTAATCTCAAATTCTCTGAAGCTAATTAAATTGCACCTTTGAGCTGCTACAGATCTTGCAGACTCAAGCCCTGATTCTTCAAATAGATGTAACAACACATGAACTGATGTCTCGGCAATGCCTGATATTCCTACAAATTTGAGCGGTTTAACGCTTTTCAGGATATATTTGCAAATTTGACTTTTTTCTTTTTTTTTTTTTTTAATATATTACTTGCTTTTATGGTACACTGAAGATTTTGCTACCAGAAATACTTATCTGGAGCAGCACACACTCATAGACAAACAGCTGCTTTTAACTAAGAGTTTTCAAGCTCAAGGAAACCATTTTTTCCAACTTTTGTGGGTAGCAGGGGAACTCAAATAATGATGAATAGGGAAGAAATAAATCAAAGGCCAATTTGTCTGGCTGTCAGAACTGCCACAGAAGTGGAGAAGTTGCCATCTTGTCAGGATTCCCACACTTGCAAGGTCATCTGCAATCCTCCAAAACAATTTGCATCATATTAGAAGAGTTCTGCCAAATCTGGATGAAACCCATTTTATGTGAGCCGCCATGATTCACCTTATTATGAGAGGTGTAAATAGAGTGAAAAAGCAGAAGAGGAAGAAGGTCAAGTTGCTTTTATGAAAAACAGAAATACTACAGGCCAAGGCTGTTGGTAGAGAAGGGAGAGCAGCGATAGATCATTGCTATTTTCCCAGCTTTTATCTTAGTTTTCAGCAGAGAGCCATGGACCAGTGTGCTTATCACCAGTACGAGTGATAGCATTCCAGTGTTCACACAAGAATTGGCATATACAAGGGCAACAGGTCTCAGTGTAAGAGACTGGTGCCAACTGAGAGATGTTGTCTCTGTGCCACTGACAGCCTAAAGGTGAGCAGTTTGAYGATTATTTTATCTGGGGTTGTGCTGCTAACAGCTGCTGTTAGCTAGCAACCTCTTTCTCTTCATTACAAGGTCCTGAGTTAAATGAGTTTCCCATCAAAAATTGACTTTGTATATCAAAGACATGCCAATAGATGCCAGTTCTTGTTCACTTTATAGTCTGCAGGCAGAGAGAATATTTCTCAGGCATGCATTCACCCAGGAACTCTAAATAATAACAGCAAGAGAACAAAGTAGAGAATAGAAAGGGGAATTTGACAGCACCATGGTTTCCACAAAGTAAAGAACAGCTTCTGTATCCAGAATGTAGGAATTTCAGGGAAGATCTGAAGGTACTCAGAAGTTAAAAATGCACGTGTAAAGCACATTTTAAAAGTACAGGTTGTGCCAAGCAGTCACATACTATTCAGTAATTCTCAGACTATGAAAGCACACACTCATGACAATTTTTAGTGATTCCCTTTTTGCCTGCTTGTCTGCCTCTTTAACACTTGAAATCTACTTAACAAGAAAATGGCAAAACAATTTGATCCTGAGAATTGTGCTCAGGTAAGAAACACACTGTAACAGGTACCTTCTGTTAAGACCAAGTTAAAATAATCAAAATAGGAAGATTTTGTACCAGCAATTAAAACCATCAGAATATCTAATGCACTGAAACTAAGTAGTCACTACACTACTAATTTACTTCTATCACTAACCTGTTTGCTTTTTCTCCATCAGGGAACATGCAAAACAATAGAAGAGGTACTCTGTCTTTATTCAAATCTATTACTCTTCTTCTAATAATCTCTTATGCACATCATTTAWGATAAAACCTTTTGCAAACATTTTCAGATGTGCAGATAAAAAGATAAAAGCCTAGTAAGATTTTTTTAAGAAGCTGAGTCTTTTCACTAACACTGGCTTTAGGAACCCACATCCATTCAAAATTTGTCTCTTACTGTCTTGCATGCATCTGTTTAAAAAAAAAAAAAAGGCAGCTAATCCCATCTATCCCACAAACAATTCTTGTACTTTCTGATTTTTCAGTCACTGTGACCAATATTCCAATTCCAAAAGCCCACTGAAAATGTAGCTTTAGATCACTGTTGTATCTCCAGAAGCTTTTTACATCCATGTGTGTTATGCCAGCAAACCTGCCAGATTTGGGAAGTTGGCCTCTTGTCTTGTCTTGCCTCACTAAGATGCCTGTTCAGGAACCTCTCAGCAAATTCTATAGAACCAAGCAGTAGCATGATGGAAATTCTAAAACTCTCTTGAAAAGTAAGTAAAAAGCAGCAGCCAATCAACCTAAAGGCTGATGATGGATTTAAACAGAAAAAAAGGGTGAAACACTGCGGTTTTGACAGCAACATAAGATACTTTTTCATTACAGAAAAGGTTCCACCCAATTACTTGTGCCCTGAAAGTGTAAATGGTTTGCCATCTCTTTGAGCAAAATGCTACAAATAATTAAACAGAAAAGCAATAATCCAAAGAAAATTTCTCACTGTTTCAGAACCTAAAATGGATTGGATTTAAAGAGGTCACATTTCCAGCAGAGATAAATACACAGACTGTGTAGGACAAAGTGCTCACTTGTTGATATATAGGCTTCTGTGTTTATTGGGATAATTGATATAAGCTTGTATGTTTATTGGGATAATTAAAGTCTGCTTTGAATTCAGTTGAAAAAGTCTGGTATCAGCCCATTCCTGATAGGAATAGGTGTCAACCACTTAGTGCTAATGGTGATGGCCTAATGAGATTGTTAGATTTTCCTTTGGCCAAGTGAACTTCACCGGCAGAATGAAAAATAGAATCAAAGGAATGCCAAACTGATGGGACATTTTACAATTTGTAGCACAAGGAAGAATGCTTGCTCTTGAGCCTCAGTTTGAGTGTAGTTTACTATTTACAACAAAAAGACTGAAAATGACTCTTGACTTTTTGTTTTGTTTTCATAGGTACCTATGCTTTAGCAGGTTTTTATCAAGACAGCACAAGATACTTTTAGGAAATAGGGTGCTCAAATATATACTTTGCAAATAAAAAGCCAGGAGTACCTTATTATAAACAAYGAGCTGGAGTTGGATCTTATGCATCTCTTAAGACAAGGCAATTTCCATGTTTTTCAAGACAAAAATGATGCATGCTGAATAAATACATTCTTAAAGCTCCTGTTAATTAACTGCTGGACAAGACACAAGTTAATTGTCATTTCCAGTCTCGTAACACCTTGCTGCTTAAGAAAATCAGTTTCCATCCCACCCAACCATTAGCGAAATTTTACTTGGCTGTTTGAAACTATACAGAAAATTTTAACAGAAAACTCGTCTTCATTCAATGTCAAACTAAGAGTGACCAGAATAGGTTTGTTACAGGGCATTTCTGTACCTTGATAAGTGGAAGCTATGGCCACCTAAGGTGTACAGTGATAAATCTCAACAGCTGTAGAGTTGGAGTTGCCAGACTCAGAAAACCAGAAACCCTTTTGATCAGCTCCTGACTCCACACCACCTTTCCTCGGCGGCTAAACCCCGATTAAATGGCTGCCTGTCCCTGAGAAAGGCTCCCTGACTGCCCTGGGAAGAGCACAGCAATGCGGAGGGATTTCTCTGCTACAGCACAATCTTCGCAGAAACCAGAGCAGCCAGTCAGACAAATGCCTGCAGTATTTGAGAGGTTAGGAGGGTCAGACACCAGAGTAAACTTTAGGAAGAACGGCCTTCCAAGCTCAGCCATTGTTTATCAGGTCCGTGAGCCCCGTCCTTCCCTTGTGTGCTGAGCACATACCACGTGCCCGTCTCACACCGACTATCTGCGGTATCAGTCAGCTGAGCTGGGCTTAATCACACCGGCAGGGATGAGGGCTGTTTACAGCAGGATTTACTCTTATGAAAACCATTAGCCCTTTAGGGTAAAAGCTGTCCTGTTGTTATGCAGAGTGCATCTGGCACAATAGATCATCAGCCTGGAGCAGGGAAAATAATTCCCTCTTTTACTATCAGGAGAAGCACTCAATCACAGTAAAACAAAGCTCACCATTGGAGAAAAATGTAGAAATACTTAAAAGGGAAAAGTTGACTGCAAGGTCTAGAGACACTTTGAGCTTATTCCGTTATGGGGAGAATTGGTATAGGCCTGGAATTCAAACACAAGAGAAAAATGATGACTGGAAATGTGGGAGTCAGCTCGTAAGGGACAGTGATATACTGAGCTGATTTACTTTACAGGGTTCATCTTTTCAAGGTACTTCTTTCTGCTGTGCCAAAGCATTCTCTTTGAAATAATTTGCAAATGAGGGGTAAAATCTGTGGGTATAGAGATGTTTACTGTTAGGCACCCAGTCCTGTCATATTCTTTGCTTCCTCCTCCTGAAATGCTTTTGGCCAGTTTTCCTATCCAATCTGACCTTGTCCTGTCTAAACTCCACTAAAAGACCTTCCAATGCCAACAATGCAGGATCAGCTTACCAAAACAGCTCCTTCCACATCTGTCTGAAGGGAAGCAGGAGGGAATCATCATCAAGGTCTCTCCACGCCAAACACAAGTCTTTCATGAAGGTAGGCCTTGCACCTAAGGCACATATAAACACCTCAGCTTCTCTTTAAACACCAAGCAATCTACGTCACTCTACCTTATTTACTAAGTTTTCCTTTGTAGAGGTAACTAGCAAAACATGGAAGCACCACCTTTGACCTGGGAGTTTTGCGAGAGCATAACTGGTAAGGTAACAGTCACAGAAATGATTTAAAAATACTACAGGTTTTCATGATGGAGCTGGTCGTGAATGAACACCTTGCAGCAATCCAACTTGTATGAAAGAGAAAGAATACTCACATTTGCACAGTGGTCAAAGAATGTCCTGGGAAATGAGAAGTAAGAACTGAAGTTATTTCTTTGCTAAGTCAAAGCCACCATTCCAGCCACTGTTTCCAGAAATGATTAGCAATGAAATTTAAGAAAAAAAAATCCTTGAACATTCATGTCAAATGAGACAACTTTAATTTCTAAAAGGGGCTAAGTACTAAGAAACTAATCTAGTTGACAGGCAATTAATCCTCCTTGCATAGTACATTTATCTCCATGGGATATCAAGATTTACAACATTTCAGGAAAACTGGCACCTAAGTGAGCAAGCAACCTCAATCCTATACAAAAGTTACAGACAACCTAAATGTTTTCAAGTTTTACTTTGTAATTTATGCAGAGAATAGCCTTTGCTTTGTCCCCATCTATCCCACAATACTGGATTCTCTCACTGCACTTTACAGTTGGCCTTTGTGTAGAAAACATAAAAGGCTGCAAGCCACACAGATATAGTAATTCACAATAAATTAGCTCATTCTAATAAAATTTGGCCTTTCTGAGGTCAAATACCTCAAGGTACTTAGTTATGGACTTCATTTTTTTTTATGCAGAATGTGCACCTCACAATACCTGGATTACATAATAAAGATTTTGTCCAGAAGGTGTTCAGTCCTTCCCTTGAGAAGGCAAAAGGTGAGGCTTCAGTTTCAGAAGTGCCCTTGACACTAATCTAAAATAAGCACTGAATCTTACAGGAAACCAAAAATTTTAACTTGCTTAACCAGCTTGCTAACAAGACAAGAGTAAAAACAGTTCTTCATATAAAAAAACTGAAAGTTACATTTTGCAGTATTAGACATTTTGCAGTGTTAGACATATCTACAATGGATTTTTTCCTTTACAGAATGATAGCTGGAGAGGAGTATTGTACTTCCATTATCATTAATCCCTTTTTTTCTAGTAACTTGTGTCCTGATTTTTCAAAAGCACTGATTATCAGCACATCCTAGGTACTGAATGGTAGCAGCAGGCACTCAGAACTATTGAAAATAGRCCATTAGCATTTGTACTTTTGCTGCAAATGCACCATTTGAAAATATTTCTCTTGCAAATGGGTAACTTCACCTCTTAGGGAAAAATCATTCTTGTAGTGTTTTAGAATGTCTGAAATAACTATTACCAGTATAATTGCTTAATACACTATAGTGGATTACAATCAAAATTAATGTCAAAAAATTCAGTTTATGATAAATAAACTTTGGAAAAATTTATACAAGACCGTAAATAAATAATTTGAACTTCAGTCTCAGTAAGAATTAAAACAATACGTCACATGACAATATCATCCTATCTAAACAATACAATCTTGCTATATTTTATTGCATAATAATTTGAGAGTAACATCTTAAGTAAAATATGTAAAGAAACAGAATCATTAGATTTACTTTCTTTAATATTGAACAACCAGTTCTTTGTACATAATCCAATTTAAAGATAATATAATTAGCACTTCCAGCATTAACAGTCTGTATTTACAATGAATGAGATGGGGTAGATCACCTAAAGAGTATTCAAATCTGTATGAAACAAAACAAAATATGAAGATTTACAGTAGTAGGCTCAAAATCCAAGACTTTTCCATTGATGGAATGCAATTTAAAAAGGCTTTGTTGCCTTTGTAAGGGTTCCTGAAATGGTTCTTTAAACAACTGAAATCTTCAGTAATGCCTTCATTATTTGTACATAACATTAAAAATTAATTCCAATACTTCTATTTTTCACTTGCTTGTAGACCAGTCTGAAATCTGATGAAAGGATAACAAGGAAGTTTACTATATAATCCTAATTCCATATTCCTGAATACAACGGTTGGAAGTAGATGATGTCAGTCCATTCCAAGGGTTATGTACACAAAACTTAGAAAATGTTCTTCACTCTTGCATAAAATGTGTACACAGTATCAGTGAGTGGGGGACTTCAAAGTTTTTATGGGCTGCTGCTGGCATGGACCTTTGTTGGTTGAAAATAAAATACCTCTCACTATTGTTCTGGTAGCAGTTTTAGAAGTTAATCATCAATCCCTGGTGTTTCACCCTGTTGTATTCTGGAGGCTATTCTAATAGCTTCTTCCAGAGACTGTTGTTCTCCAAGCTGAAACAAATGCATTTAAATAGAAATAAATCCAAAATGTTACACTTGGATAACAAATGCATCAAAAAAGATCTGAAAGCAAAGATCTAGATATCAAACAATACTACAGCCCAAATAAGTGTGATCAGTATTGTCACACCTCTCCTGGGTAATATATACCAGCAGCTATCAAATCAGCATGACAATTAAGATAGCTGCTGATAGGAGATTAAACTGAGTTTCTATGTAACTACCAAATACATTTGCTTCAAAGAATTGCTGCATGATAAACACACTTCATGACCCACATTTCAACTTGGCAGATATTACAAAGCTCAGACAAGGCTTGCAGAAGTCACATTTTATTACTGGTAAAGCAAACAAATGTCTTAATTTTTCTTAACTCTCTACCAGAAAGTCAGCTCTTTAGAACATCATATGACACTAATTTAGAAAAAAAGTGTGCATTTATCGCAGAATCCCAACTGCATAAAAAAGTTGTTGTGATGACACTGACCTACATTTTAGAGAGGGAATTATCTTGTAGCTGCCATCAATGTATCTGGTACTACCAAAAGCACCATTACCAGCCCTGGATAAAGATAACTTGATACAATTTTGGGAAGGAATCCAAGGAGTTTTACATGTTCATGGGAACACTGAAGACAATCTCAACTGCACAAAAAAAAAATGTAAAGCTGGCCATTACGTATTGGCTCAGGAGAAACACACATAAGAGTGTGAAAGATAAAACCATATTGTCTGACCTAACTGGACATTTCTAAGTATCACTTGTTATTTTCACAATCATAAAACATTCTGGAGGCATTCATATCAAGACCTCTGTTATCACTTCATTACAGCTTCAATTAGACTATCAGGCTGCTGGCTTTACCAGTAGTTAGAAACCAAATGGATCAATTTATTACCATCAAAGTACAAAAGAAAAGCCAATCAAAACCTCAGGAATAATGAATAGTATTTTAATTTTGAACTCTCTCTCTTCTATTTGTGTATTTTAAGTTTAATTAATGTAAAGGGACTTAACCAAATGCTCCACTTCTGGTAACAGAAGAGGGGCATGTGCAGCGAGTGCCTGTTTTCCTTTCATTCAAACGACCAGCTGCTGAGAGTGCTCGTTACTTTTTTTCCTGCTTCATGCAAACAATTGCCTTCTGATACRGTTTCTCTTATAAGCAGTTTTGATTACTGCCAACTTATCTCAAAAGACAGGACTTCAGAATTTAGAGCTTCTCGACTTTCACTGCTCTTTCAAGCAGCATCTGACTTGCTACTTTCCATTTAACAAAGGGTAAAATAACAATCTCTCATTTCTGCTTGAAGATATTAATATATTCCTTTCAATCTGAGCTTTTTAGAGCTCTTTCATACCTAGAAATTACCTTTTCCTGACGATGTTTGAACTATTTACAGAGACTAGATGAAGAACTATTTACAGAGACTGCTTGGACTGTGCTGGTTGGTTTGGCACATAACAGACTCACTCTTTCCAGAGATCTCTGATTATTAATCTTTCTATATAACTTTGCTATTAGAACTTCAAGGTTCAAATAACAAATTTGCTAATTTTATATATTATTTTATATCATATTATTATTATTATTATTATTATTATTATTATTATTATTATTAATAATAATAATAATAATAATAATAATAATAATAATAATAATAATAATAATAATAATAAATTTTATATATTTATTTTATAAATTCATAGCAATTTACCTTTGAGAGTTTGGCTTCATATGTATCAACTCTATATGTAAAGCTGAAGGATGAAAGAAAACACTTTTACACTGAAAAACCTGTGACTCCATGAACAACTCAGTTGACCTGAAGTTTGGCCCTTCCCCTTTTTTGTGAGTTCTACAAATATACTTGGAAAATTAGATGCTGCTTATTCCTCTTCCTAACCCTACATATTACTTTAAATATGAGATCATATGGTTGTGGGCTAATTTTTTTCAGGGAAATGAATATTATTTGAATAATTTTGTTACCTGACTAGGAATTTCTAGCTCTAGCATAAGAAACATTTCAAAAAAACATTTGTTCCCATCTTACCTGCACTGCTATTTGTGTCCCATTGGATGTGGCCAACAATGTAACAGGTCTAGTTTCTGTAGTCACTAGATGGTGTCCATGCTGCTGGTGTCCCATTTCTGAGGAGGCACTATGAAACGCTGCTAAGTCCTGGGCCACAATAGCAACCTTCAAGACCAAAGGGAGAGAATCATCTGCATGGCAGATCTGTTCCTGCACCTGACCTCACACCCACCACTGCCTTCACAGTTACAATCAAAGCTGTGATTGCTCATGAGCATAATTGTATTATGCAAACGAAAACATGCCACAATTCTCTAAGTTATCTACTAGCTCTTAAAATATAAATATCCTCAGGACTGCAGTAATTCAATAAATTCAGAGAAAAAAGAAAACTTCATTTTCATGTGGTGCAATTTCAGAATAGCAGAATGCATTTTAACTTAGAGATATAATCAAATTTCTGTGAGAAGATCAGCTGCTTTGTCTGTATATTCATAGATAGATACTTACACAAATATTTCCTATGTGTCAAATAAATTAGAGTCCCATAATATGAACCAATAAAATTAGAGTTCATATTGGATTTTATTCTTAGTTCTGCCACTCATTTACTATGTGACTTTGGGGAAAATGCTTGGTATTTCTAGGTCTTATTTTACATGACTGGTACCTCAGAATTTTTTCTTGGTGCCCAATTGTTTTAAAAATATTCTGCCATCTGCTAATGTATAGCACTGGAGTAGAATACATCAGACACTAATGAGGGGAATGTGTTGACCAGGTGTTGCAAACTGCTTTGCTGAGATATATCCACATCAGTGACAGAACTTGATGGCTCAGGTGATATTTCACACCAGCTCTTGAAGGACATTACAACATGAATGCTGGCCAATGTCTCACCTGCTGTCCCTCGGTGCCCTCTGCAGTGACCATCGCTACAGAATGCGTTCCTGCAGAGGAGATGACGGCGTCGTGGGCAGGGACTGTGATGGTGGTGCCATCTTGTGTCACCATAGTGATGGTATTGCCGATGGTCTGCATGTCTGCCTGGGATATGTTCACCTGGAACACAGAGTAACTCCTGAGGCAAAAAGGCTTGGATTGCTGCTCGAGTCAGAGCCCTCATTCTATTTGCCTCACTGATGGGATCTAACGGTTCATGACCTTTTAGATATACTGACCTGTTTACAGAAAAGAATATAGCTCTCAGTAGTAAGAAAGAGGTTGTACTATAATCCCAGAGTCTACAACTCCATGTTAATGAGAGAGTATCCCAAATAACAGCATAATAGATTATCTATGCATGTGTCTTACACAAAGGTCTATGGGATTCAAGCTGGTACCACTTGACATACTTTGATCTTGATGGAAATACTAAAGAGGCCTATGAGGGCTGAGAATTTAAACCACAAATAAACAATCCATAACAAATTAATGATATAAATTACTGATGTCTCCAGTATAAATGTAATAGGGCATGAGATACATAATTTGATCTCTGATTTACAAGGTAATAAATCCCAGAACTGAATTCAAGCTGAAGCACAACCTCAATAAATGCGAGAACTCTTTATGTCAAGGTTTCAGCAGGCCTTCTTTTTAGGGGGCAAAAATGCCAGTTATTCAGTATCACTGCAGTGTCCAGAGCTGGTAATGTAACAGTCTCCTCGAATATTTCATTTTTTTTTTAATTCAAAATATATCCTTCATATTTTACTTGAATTTCGGCTGCCCTGCCATAAGCCTTTAATATATTGCCACAGAGAATCAAGAGAGCTGTACTGAAATTCTCTTCTAAAGAAATTTCATATAGAATCCTTAAAAATATATATCCATGGAAATCCTTAGAAAAATACACCCACAGGAATTTCCAGTGGAAAATAATATCAAAGTATTCCTTATTCTTTAGTTTGTGTTAGAAATGGTAAGAACTGCACACTACCAACCTAACTGCTTGTAAAGGAAGCACTCGGACTGAAAAGACTTCCCACCTCTTGACCTCACCAAAGTGTGTGTAGACAAGACACTGAAGATGCCCATCAGATATTATTAGCATAATCTGGGAATTCTGAGAAACATCAGAAACAGGCTGCATATATACCAATCGTTAAAACAGCCCTTTTCAGAGTGATAAAGACAATAAGGAGAGACCAAACTCCAAACTTTGTGTTAATACAATTCCACGTGTCAGAATGTGTAGTTTCATTTAGGTATTCCGCAAGAGGCAAAACCCTAAACATATCCTGACCCAGTGCCAAAGAAGTTTCTTTCCTTAAGAAATCTACAAATATCACTGATTTCAGAAAGCCCTTGGAAAAGCTGCAAACATGTGCCTCAGCATGGTTTTGTCAGCACTTGAACACTGTGGTTACTTACATGTTGGGTTCCATCCTGGGATATTAATGCTACTTGTTGGCCTAATCCTGACTGAGTAACTGTAGCAACCTGTGCAGAAATGACATCTTCTCCCTCAACACCTGTCACATAGGTGATCTGGGAGCCTTTGAGCACATCTTCACCTTGACCTATTGGATACAAAGAAGGCAAAAAGAGGATACTTAACATACTCTAAATGATACCAGGAGAGGAAGGATTAAGTCCCAGTCTTGTTTGAAGGTTTTAAACAATCCAACAGAAAAATTTAGTGGAAAGATGAGAAAAATAAAAGAAGGAAAGATACCAGAAATCAGAAAGTTTTATTTTTGGAACATGGGGGTATAATCTTCTAGCAATGAGTTTTAAGACACGTACATAGTACATATAAAGAAACTATACATTTACTTTATAAGCAAATACTAAAATGTGACAAACATTTCTAATTCATTCTATAAATCTTAACCTCTCTAAGCAAGGGACTTCATGCAAACATAATTAATTTTTTTTTAAAAGTTATTAATTAACAAACATACAGAAGAACACAGCGATGCCTGTGTGTGAAGATTTAAGTAAGTTCATTATCTTGATAAATGTTTAACCTCAGCAAAGGAATCTTATCATTCCTTTAAAAGAAGGAATTAGCGTATAGCAAGTCTGCTTGAGGCATTCAGTGCAGTTTCCCACTAACATGTAGAAAAACAACTTTTCTAACCAAAACAGTTTGTATGGATATTTCTGATCTTCAGTCACATCTAAAAATCACAATTTGACAAGTGGTGTTTGCCCTATCACAGTATTTCCTTCAGTCTAATCCTTCACAGTCACGATTCAATACCCATGGTACCACAAACAGCATACTCTGAGGAGTACTGCAGCACAGCAGCACATTTTCATCTCTGCCTCTAGGTCAGTTTACAGAAACTGCTCTAAACCACAACAAAACTAGCCCATATCACTGTGTTACAAAACCAGATTTTTCTTTTCTTAAGGTAGAACTTTTACTTCCACACAAAAGACTGTCAACAGCCATGATGTTACATTTATACTCTTGGAAAAATCCCTAACAAAATTCCAGTAGGTTTGTAATTGGCTTAGATTCTCTCTGGTCACTTCCCCACATTCATGTTTTTAGCAGGTTTGCTGAGACTGCAACTCAAATTTCTCCCTTAACCCCATGACTGCTATAAATGAGTTTATTTTCAGGCCAATTACTCCTGCAATTTCTGTTTACAAGTTGCCTACTACTCTAAAAGGTCTTACAGAGAAATTAATATACCTTTATGAAGTGCTTTAATTTTTTATGTATGCTTGAATTTCTTTGGCTATCAAAAACACCCAGCAAAATACCATCCAGCCCTTTTTTTTTTTTTTTTTCACAACAAGAGATTCAACGACTGAAATTCTAACCTGGAGGTGGCTCAAAGAAAGCCTCTTGTTCTTCCTCAATGGGCTCTGTGTCATTGTGTGCTGTCCGTTTGTGCATAGCAAGGGTGGAGATCTGCTTGTAGGTTTTCCCGCAGTGATTGCAGTTGTATGGTTTGGAATGAGTATGTACAACATGATGTTTGTATAAACTGGAATACTCTGTGAAACGTTTGTCACAGCCAGGAACTGTACAGACATAGGGCTTCTCCCCTGCACAGAAAAACAACAGAGGGAAAGAGAACTTTATTCAGGATGCACAGGAAAAAGTTGCCAGCAAATTATATTTAGGGTCACACCTTCATTAACAACCATACTTAAATTTCAAAGGCAACACATAAGCTCAACCTCACAAAGATTATCAATGCAACCTCTTACTGTCTTTTTCAAAGAACTAGTGGCTGTACAAATTTGGGCCATTTTTCTCCCTATCGCTTCATCTAAAACATCCTTTTGATGAAGATGGAATGATACAGGCTGAAAGCTGCACTTTCAGTTTGTTATTGTACTGAGAACTTTGTTCTTTTATTACTGGAAGCCCCATAAATCTCCTCAATGATCAGACATGCTGATTGACTAGTATCACATTTGAATCTTTAAACCTCTTAAGAAATCCATAGAAAGCATGTGTATAAACAATTATGGTTTCATACAGAAACACCTTTCATTTAAAAATCAATGAAACAAGTGCCCAAATTACAATATAAACTAAAAATATAAACCAAGATACAAAACATTCCTTTATGAAGCTTGTCTGTGTTTCTATAAAATATATAATGCTACCAAGATGATATGGCTATCACTGGCATTTTCATTTTAGAACCTTCAAATTAGTGCTTATTATTTCTGCTTACTAGCCCTGAAAATCAAGTTGGAAAAGTATTTTCACATCCAGTCTATAAAAACGGAAGTTTTGACCACAGTTCCAGCAGCAAGGAAAACACAGTTGGGATGAAAGGGTGACTCATAACAATGAGCCCAAGTTAAGCTCAGACTTGTCCTTTACTGATATTTATTTAAGAAAGAGCTCACAACGGAGGCATACCCCAGAATCATATTAAGGATTTAGCCCAATGTCCAGTTTAAAAAACTTTGTATGTAAACCAAAATTATTCTGCCTTGACAGCAAGGTGGGAAATCTAACTGCTTAAGTATCCTCAGCTGAGGGGAAAAGAGGCTCAAACAGAAGGACCAAGGCAAGTCATATTTATATGACTATACCCAATTACAATACACCAAAACATCGTTTGCAAGGACAATGACGCAGCCTTTCCCAAGCAGATTCCATTTCAAAATACAATAAATCACTCATATACCTGTGTGTATTCTCACATGATTCTTATAATTAGTTGCACTGGCAAAAGCTCTCCCACATCCCGGCTCTGTACAGTAATAAGGCCTTTCGCCTGTATGTGTCCTGATGTGAACCTTTCTAATATTAGATGTTGTGAATGACCTGCCACATCCTTCAAAGGGACACTTAAAAGGCCTTTCACCTGAAAAAAAGACAAGAAAAGGTACACATGCAAAAGTTATAAAATAATGAAAATCTAAAATTATACTTAGATTGAATGTAGGAATCTAAAGCAACCTAATTCTATCTTTGAGATCCTCAGTCAGAAAGACCATGAACATGCTACTGTGCAGTATTCTAGTTTAGCCAAAACTGGCAAAATTCAGGAAAAACACACAGTCTGTAAGCTAAATTATGACGCATTTAGTTAGTACTTTAACATGTATAGCACAGATTCAGTTCTTGGATTAGCTTCCACACTGCCCAAAATCTAACAACTACTTAACAACTTCCCCAATTCATACATATATTATCCAAACCCAGAGTATCATACTGTTTACATTTGTCATTTTTGCTTCTTAAAATGAAAAAATACTTTCATGATTTAACATACAACCAGGATAAACGTGGATTAGTATTACTTGTTACAGAAAGCTCTTAACCTTAAAAATTTTCTAAAGAGAGGCAGCCATGAAACTCAAGTTTCAAACCCCCAAAACAAAGCAAATCACAAATACAGGTTCTTTTAAAGTAAGTCTATTCACATAAAATAAGCTTAAGCACAATAACTCACATCACTGCCCCCAACCATTTCACTGAATAGGAAACAAGGCCAACCAATAACACTCCAGTAACCCAGACCTTTCATATCTATTGAATCAAAGGGGGTTAAGTTTGGAGAAAGCTCGAGCCACTTACAGGCTGTCCTGGTGTAATTTCCCACTTCTAGAACCAAGTACATTCCCCACACTGTGCTGTTTACCAAAAAGCAGAATATGAGAGAAAGAGAGAGCAAAACACCACTAAAGATACAACATTAGGTACTTAAAAATAAAAGCATAACTCCTGATAGACAGTAATACCACGAAACTCCAAAGTAGTTCACTCCTTGGCAGAGGAAACTACTATTCACTCCTTCGAGCAGCTGTTTTGGGAAGATTTTCCAGTTTCCTGCCAAAGCAGTGTGTATTCCCCTGCACGCCCTCAGTGTTGTGTTACCATGGCTCCCCTAATTCCGGCTTCAGCCAGGACCCCAAACACGTTGGAAAGCAGCAGGGCTGCAGAGCCAGCCCCACCCAGCAACAGACCCTGCACTAGAAACCAAAACAGATCGCTCTTGAACAATGCCCGCAGGAATGTCGCCCGACCGGTCCCTGAAGGGGCCTTTTCAAATTCTAATGTACTTTCTAGCAAAGCGACCTGTTTCCAGGTGACAGAGAATTCCAACACTAGAAATGCAAAGTCTTGCAGCTCTACCCCACTGCAGCACGATGTACCATCCACAGCAGCTTTTCTGATCCCAGAGCTGTGCCTAGTCACGGGGAAGTCACGGAGAAACCCAAGGCAAGCATTTGATGGCACTGAAAGTGGGAATTGACTGCTACTCAAAGAGAGAGAAAAGTCACTTCTGGTTAAAACAGGCAGAAAATGAAGAAAGTGCTCACCCTGATCTACATCCTAGAGGAAGGGAAAAGTTTCTAAACCATGGGAGAGAGTGAGAGAACCCGGACCTGCCTCCATCACGTGCTCTGCTGCAGCTTGCTTAAGCCATGAGCATATATGGCTCCGTCCTCCTGCACAAAGGAGCTGCTGCAATTTTTTTCTCATTCCTTAGATTCCTTAAAACACTCATAAATCTGAAATAAGACACCTCCGGTCCCTGGACTGCTGCGAGATTGTATTTCTATCACAAATATTGTTCAGGTGGGTAGGTTACATAGGGCTGGCTCAAGTCTTTTGTCTCAACTGCCAAATAGAGAAAGATTAATTTACCACACAACTTTTGTGGCCATAAAGAAGAAAACAATCCACAGCTAATGAAGTTCCCCATACTACAGAAACTTTTCAGTTCATAGTCTGTACTAGATAAATATCAACAGTGCTCTTCTAGAACTAAGAGATGACACGTTTATCCTGATGTTTAAAAATCCAGATAGGACTAATCCCAAYAGATTCTCTTTGTACGGAAGTCCAAAAAAGCAGAAATATCTTAATGTAATCTTGAGATTCTACAATTTTTATTGCCTGTACTGACATTCCACCCTCCCATATCGTTATTTTTAATTATTAAAGAATCCAAACCCCTATTTATTTTATTTTTTCTTCTTGACTCTCTAAGAATCAGAAAGTTCACAGAAAAACTTGTCAGCRTTCTAGCAGAAACATAAATAGACAATGGAATAGGTTAACAAGCAWTAGATTGTTCTTCCTACATACAAAGGAGACATTGAGCAAACTTGTTTACATATGTGTCCACCCACAGAGTTTTGCAGTGTAGTGTGTGCTGTCTAGAATCCATGGTTTGGTTTTCAATTTAATGTTTTTAAACAAAATTAATATTTTATTTTTGTGCCTTTGCAAGTTTTAGTCACAGCTGTTTTTTATGATATTTTTGTTTATCTGCTGGAAGCAGAGATGGGAAATCAGGATAACAAGCTCAGAAACTGGCATGAGAGTTGTATTAAAGCACCAAAACTGAGGAACATTGAAGCCATTTCTAAAGGGCAAAATAGATTATTGAGGAAAAGTTCCTTTTTCTGTTACAGCTGCAGACAAAACTGTAAAGGCAACAAATGACTCAGTGACAATGTAAATGAGGCACTGCTAAAAGTTAGTGCATTTGCAATAGCAGTGTCAATGCTTAAGCACTTTTACCAAGAAAAGCATACTGGATTTGCAGTAAATGCTTACCATACTGAAATGCTGCTGAGCTCACTGGGCTTCAGAAAGAGAATATACACAGGCTGATTTTGTAAGTATAAAGTCACAGAATGAGGAAAGAAAACAAACTAAAAATCCACCTAAGTGAATTACCAAAAAAGTCTCGTGTGATGATAGTACCTGTGTGGGTTCGAATGTGCTTCTGCAGGTCTCCAGAAGTCTTGAAGGATTTGGTGCAATTCTCTTCTGTGCACCGATAAGGCTTTTCACCAGTGTGTGTTCGCACATGACTTTTTAACCCATACCCTGGAGATCAGAAAGGATGTTATCAGAGCATAAGCACCAAATCAGGACACTCATAAACCATCCCCAGCAAAAGCTGGGCTTGCCATTCCAATCAGGAATGCTGATGAGCAAAATTTGCTCTTTCATTCTTCATAAATACTTCATTCTACCCTGTGGGTCAGTAGATCTCTGGATAACAGTTTAGAAATTCTTTCATCCTTCATAGATGAAGAAAATACACTTCCATAATGCTTCTCCTTCCCTTCAGAAGGATAAGTTGCAATTATTTTAATGTGGACAAATATTTATTCTGCCTTCTGAGGAAGCCATATGCTCTGCCTTTCATCTCATTCTTACCTCTTCCCACTGCTGTCATCAAAATGACATTTAATTATTTGCTGATAGGAAAAACAATACGACTAATGAAATCAGCAGTAGAATCACATATATAGGTGCTAACCAAAGGCAGTCATAGACACTCATCCTCTTTAAGATTACCTTTAAAGACTCGTGGTCATCAAAAACTCTACCAGTCTGAAGTGAACTTTGGATCATGCCCTCTATAAATTATTTTGCAATGAGCATTTTACCAAGATTTTCCTTTCAGCACCTTTCTGAAAAGACAATGACTAAAGAAGCCTGAAACAGCCATTTTAGAAAATGAACCTGAATTTCACTTGTACCCACAAGTGATGTATGCATTTCTACAAAACAAAATCTGAAAATGGCATCTGCTTTAATTTCAGTGCTCTCTCCAAAACTACTGAAATACCTATTGATGTTTTCAAAAGCATGAAGCATGTGAACCAAGCTGAACATTAATTCACTTTTACATCTAAAATAAACTCAGTTTCAAGTGAAGTTGTTTCCCTTTTGACTTGTTGCATCTGCATTTACTTTGCTCATTTCCATTCAAAGAAACCGTATTAAACATATTAGATCAGATGAAGCTTTTTAAAAAAAATACCTTATTTAAAAAAATAGAGCCCAACCTTCCTAAGTATTATACTAATTTACATTCAAAGTAAAAGAATAAAATTTGAAACAAGTTTTGCTATTTCATTTTCTTCCATGTTTCATTCCTGATAATTGCACTTTGCACAAAAAAAAATTAATCTCAGGGAGAGCATCATTTTTGAGCAGAGTAATTTGAGAGAGTTACGAAATGTAGAGTTCACTTCACAACAGACATCACTCTGATACAAATTCAATAAAGAACACTTAAACCAGCATCTTCTATCAAAGTTCCTTTCAAATTTAGACCAGAAGATCAAGAATCTGCCTTAAGCCTACAGGTTCAGCTTTCCTTTATCACCTCATTTAGCTTTTGCTATTAGTCTAATGGTCAGAAAGGCCTATTTTTTAACATACAGTTTGACTGTAGCATGACAGGCAAAGAGTAAGGAAATGTTGAGTGCTTCACCTCATTGACCCTTGAGTAAGTGTTAAATCCTCTTTCTTTTCTATTGCTACACTAGCTGAAAAGATGAGGTTTTTTCCAGTTCTCCCAACCTTCCCAGCAGTTAAAAACTTACTTTATTCACAGCCAAGCACTAACAAGCAGGAGGAGCTAGTCTGCAAAAGATTACCTGTTGCAAAGGCTTTGCCACACCCAGGATGTTCGCACTGATACGGTCTGTCTCCTGTGTGAGACCTTTCATGCACCTGTTGACATCCAAAACAGTGACTTAATGAAATGCTGTATCTGGTTACTTCAGCACAGAAGCAGCTCATTCTCAAAGTCAACGTGTTTTATTTATCTTACTAAGATTCACATTCAAGTGTCTGTTTATTTCAGTGATGAAAGAAAAAAAAAGTGTTTTCCCTAAAACTAAAGATGCCTTTTTCCAGGTCTAACCTGATCTTTCCAGTCTGTTTTTGCACAAAACACTTCTGTCCAGGCATGCAGAGCTGCCATCATGTAACTACATTAAAGACAGTAGGCAAATATGCCTCAGAGTCCACTCTCTATCTGATTTTTTGACTTCACTGAATGCTTCCAATGATCCTCTTATATTGCATTAAACCTCTACAGCAAGGACATGATTTTAGCAAGTGACTCATAAAGCCAACTACTCACTGACTCCTGTATTTAGTCAGAGATGAGGCAGCACTGTGAGGAGATTACCTCATCAAGGGATTGTCTCGGCTTCAGCTGGAATGTGAGCAGCCCTACACCATTTACCATTTCAGTAATTCCTTTACCTTATTTTAAAAAAGGAAGAGAATTAACAAGTTGCCGTCTGTAAAAGAAAAGATGTTCCAGCTTTTCACTTTGAATATTAGTTTTCAAGAGTCTCACTTTCTACTATGATAGTGAAATTATTTCAAAAACTGGAATTTTTGCATGATCATGCATACATGTAAAGTTGATAAAGTGAATGCTGGAGTCCAGAATTTCTGTGTCACTGCTGGTGGAAACAACCTCAACATGCTAGCAGCACAGCAGCTGAATGGAATCCCACAACTGCATCTATCCAAAACACTAAGCAACTCATCTGAGCACCACTACTTACTGTAAAATCAATCCAATAAACATTTGACAAAACAGCCCCATTGCAACCCTCTCTCTTGATTTCTACTACTTTTAACCACTTAATCTCTCAAAAAAAAATCACGTCTACAAAGTACCAATGTCCATTTTACATCTCATCACCTTAAGATGGTGAGCTGTTGTGTACAGCTTTCCACAGCCATCATAATCACAGCGAAAGGCCTTCTCTCCAGTTTGTTGAGATTTTGCAGTCACTCTTGTTCCATGTCCTTGCAAGACAATCTTAAGTGAAAGAGGAAAAAAAAAATTTAAAAGGCCCAACCAAACCACACACCAAAAAAAACCCAACCACCAAGATAGATCAGAGAAGTTACACACTTTATATTGATATCAAACCAGAGCTGATTCTGACATTCTGACAGGTTTCTTTTGTTTCTCTTTGCCATGCCATATATTTCTGAGTCCGAAATAAATAAATGAAAAATAAATAACTGAAAATCAAATTCTCATGATGGAAACTATAAAACACATTTACTTGTACCTAGCAAATTTAAAAGCTTACATTAATTAGCCAAATAGCAAAGACAAATAACTTAAAATCTAAGCACAGTGATAAAATGACCAAATTAATAGTCCGACAAGTCTTGGATTACATCTGAGGTGCTAGATCTGTTCCTAAGGGAGATTAGCCATAAATCAGACCACCCTCAAAGATAAGTTCATGGAAAGGCCAAACAATAATGAAATGTCCTTAGAATGAGCACTTTTTGAAAATGAAGGAAAGCATTTTGTACTTGGTCTGCCATGCATGTATTTTGATCAAGCTAATTGGAGCAACGTGAGCTAGGTTCTACTCTCCCTACTGGCATGACAGCAGGAAAATATCCAGAATAGCTTCAGGAGGCAACTGAAAACCCTTGTAAAGGCTTCTTCACACACTGACATGCAAGACGCATTTATACAGACTGAACACACGGGCAGAAGCCCAAACATAAGCATTTTGGTAAAATGGTATGCAAAGCAATCAAGACTATTTCAAAAGGTCTGTCCTTTTAAACCACTCCCCTTTTCTTACAGATCCAATTCTATACCAAACTGTCAAAAGAACATTGCACTGAAGCACTGATTTTTTTTATATCTTAGTAAATCTACTACTATTTCTTTGCTGTTCCAGCATATAAAAATATGCACCTACTTGCTAAGTTCTGCTATAAAGTTCAAGCATGCCGAAGTTTAAAAGAAAACAAAAACAGTTCTGTAACGTGCTGATCTCTGCAAGGAAATAACCAGCCATAATCTTACCAATATTAAGATGGATACAAAAAGTGGGGGGAAATAAAGCACCTTTATGATAATGTGAAACTTCCTGAGAACTGTCTACTTCACATACTTTTAAATAGAATAAATAAACAGAATTTTAACAAACTTATTTTTAAGAGATCCAAAATGCATCCTGAGTTCAGAGAGGTAGCACAGCAGAAAAACAAAGATCTCGGATCATCTTTTTCTACTGCACACATGAAAGCAGAATCATATAACCAAAGTGTGTATTGTGAACAGATGGGTACGACAGTTTGGAAAGGAAACAGTGAGATATCCATTTGGGCACACAGAGTCTTTTGTTTTGCCATGTAGAAATCACAAAGAGATTTTCTGCTTTTTTTCTTTGGTGAAACACCTATCTCATCACATGAAAGACTGAGTGACTTAACAGTATAACATCTGTTCTGTTACCTGTGGACTTAAAATGTTTGTAAATATACAACCTATTTAATTCTATATCTAAATATGAGATTATTTCATATATATTAATATATATTAATACAGAATGAGTTACAAGAATACTTAAATCAAGATATAAGATTGATTTATATTGTTATACATAATTGATAGCTCTTGGCCCCTTCAACTGAAGGCCAGCTGTAATCATCTTATAAGGGTCAGAATTTGAGACTAAGCCTCACTGCCTTTTTGAAATATCARATCTTGTTTTGTTTGGAACATATAATGCTCCATAAGATTGGCACATTTCCATATGCACATATGTTGCCATATATGTATAAGATAAAACCACCTCCACATTCAGTTTGCTTTGGGGCTGAGGCCAAAATTCCTATTTAGGTGGATACTGGTTACAGGTAATTTGGCTTAATAGGCTCTTCCTTCAGGTAAAAGCAACAAAGATTTTGTCTTACTCTTCCTTGAATTTTGCCTTTCATTGGGGATGTATCCCTATTCCAACCTACAAGAGAGCAAACCCTCTGAATTTCTTAATTTCAGTTTTTTGGAATATAGTCCAATACAGTAAATAATGCATGTATTAGCGATGCTCTCCTTCCACAGTCAAGCCACACAGGCAAAAGTGAAGTGTCTGCAGCTTTAAATATTGTGGGATGTAACTTGTGAAAAATTATTAATAGAAAATTTGAGCCGTCAAGAGGTGAACCTATAATTGTTCCTTTCACAGATAATGTATTTTAATCTTGGAAGATATTTTTCCTCCTAGTCTAATTCACCATTTCTTAAATTAGGCAAAAAGGAGTAAAGGTTTGTCCAGAGAAGCCCCATTCAAAATGCAATGGCTTTTCTATTTTTGATTTTGTCATCTTAACATGTGAGGGTGTAAAGGTTTTAGGATTATTTTTGTTGTTGTATATTTGAGGCCCAGAATACATTTTTCTTTGTCTTTCCCTTTAGTAAAATGTATTATAATGTTAAATACCATTCTTCTAACATAGTTTTATAGATGTCAGGAAAAAAAGCTTGAACTTAGTAAGTTGCACCTGTATTTTCCATTACCATTTGAACTTTTAAGTTAATCTTTTCACATTAAAAGGTTTTTACACTTCCATGTACKAGCAAAATGGATCCAAAAAAATAAATGGAAGTATTTTTCTTTCAGCATTCTGTAGGAGCAACACTCTTAACAACTGATTCCTTATGAAACCTGCTACAGAAGTCAGAGAACATAACAGGGCAAATGGAATCCAAGTAAGTCATCAAAGAGAGAACAATTCCAGACATATGCCTGGAATTGTCTGTCTTAGAAGAAATTTATTAATTGAGACAGCATTCTTTCTGCTTTAAATACTATCAAAAGTCAGGCCCTTCTCTGGAAAAGAACTTCTGAAAAACATTCTCACTGATTAAATACTCAGGACAGCTTGAAAAATCTTCAGAATAATTTAAAATCACCTTTTAACAGGAAAAAAATCCCTAGAAAACAGTAAGTATTGAAGATCCTTTTAAAAATTTTGTGGCAGGATCTTGTACAGAGATAATATAATCTATCTGTATAGTCTGAAATCTGTAACTTCTGAAAGGTAGCAGCAGAACCCAGTTCATGGCTACAGAGCTCCCCATCACGCACCTTGCTGGGCAGAGAAGACAAAAGAAATTAATATACTTAATAATTAYACTTAATTATTTTGTATTAGGCACATACCTGCATTTTTTTATCTTGTTCATTTTCACCTATCATTCCTGTGCTACTAACAGTGTCATTTCCATCAATAGACACCTGAAAAACAAAGTTGAAATGGGAAAAACATTTACAGGTTATTTTCATTCATGTGAGAAACAGAGGCTTACAGACAGTTCTTGGAGGTTTACTGTTTCATAGCTCTCTAGCTCCCTCTTGGAACATGGTTATCCTCTAGTGCATGATAAACATCACCTGCAGCACCTGCCTTACAGAAGAGGGAAAGTGAGCACAGCAAAGTTGTTTTATAACAGGCTAGGAAAGACTTCAAGAACTAAGTATGTTAATTAATAGACTAAATTAATAGACAAAAGTATTACAACAAATCAGTAAGTGTGACAATTTTGAGTTCTGATAAAAAAAAAAACCCAAACATTTACTTATTTTATTATAAAGGCATATCTCTCCTTGTTAAGCAGAATGTACTTCTTTTAAACAGCACAACTGCTTTTGTGTTGTAGCACATTGTCTTAGCACATCTCAATTTGAACTAGACTAGTTACAATTAAGCAAGGACTTGGTTATTGCTACATAGGTTTGTTTTTAAACAGTCTCCAGCAGGAGAAAGGCATTGCTGTTTCCAATCAGCTCATAAAAATATTTCAGTCTGCTAGATGTAAATGTGAATTTTTTATTTAAATAAAAAAAATAATTACCCACTTTAAAAAAACATCCCAAACAGTCTCACATGCAGCAACTCAAAGAACAAGATCTTCTTAGTCACTGTATAAAAAGTTAAAGTACACTCTGCATTGTTTCCCATTCCTTAATTGTCTCTGTATTAAGCACAGGCATTCACAATACTCTCTGCATCCACTATATTCAGGGCTGAGACTGATGCACCTAAGCCTGCTCTAAGTGATTCTATTCTTCTCTAAAACAGTTTGGCAGGAACGCTCCCTGCCCTGGGCTGCTCATGCTCCTTCACCCAAGAGGCCACAGCAGGCTCCTGAGAACATTGGTGCTTGTGTGAAGTATTTTGCCCAAAGCACCAGCCACCAGCAGTTTGCTTGGAGACGGTGATGAATTCATCCCACAAAAGGTTTACAGACCGTACTCTCTCTCTAAATTAGACAATTATGAGCAATATACTTTTGGGAAATTTGGGCTAAAACACTGAAGGGGAAAGTGTCCAAGCAGAATTACAAAGAAACTGAAAAAAAAGAGAGTCAGAAAGCAGGTAATTCTTGGGTATCATTTTGGGAGCTTCTCCCTCAGAATCTTTAAAGGAAGAGGAGAGAACCTGCACAGAAAGAAGACTTGAATTACTTCATCCTGAACTTCCTGTTGTTGGTTGAGCAAAGAACTGCTGACATGAAATTAGAACTTGTTCAACTATTGAAAACAAATGATCCAAACAGAATGTGCATGTATGTGTTGAGGCATGCACAAATCCCAGGAACTGTACTTTGCCAGCAGCTTTTCCTGGCATAGGAAAACAGGTTATGGAAGGAAAGTATGGGCTGTAACCTCTTCGTAATTCCATCATACATCTTCTGACTTGACAGAGAGCAATGATCTCTTTTTTCCTTGGTTGCTTTGGGAGGATGGTGGCATTGACTCAGCCCAAAATTAGAGGACTACAGTTAAGTCTGTATGTGCTTTGCATGTTGTGAGAAAATAGTACTATGCCTGAAGCAGAAGTGAGGGACAATGAAAAATGTACATTTTCCACCATGTTCATTGAGCTTCTGGGTAGTCTGCTTGGATGTCCTTGTATGAACTCTTTTATATTCTACACTGATCTTGAGAACCCCATTGATCTTTGTGTTTCTGCCTGTTGCATTGGACAGGGAAGCAAAGAAGAACCACCACTCTTCAAATCTACCCGTAAATTTTTGTTGCCCTTTACATTTTGGAAAGAAAACCTTAAAAAAATGAAACTGAAAAAGTCATCCAACTTTACACCTCTCTTTTGCAGTATTGTACGAATTCTGAAAAGATTCCAGGGCAAATCTTTGAGCTCCTCCTGAAACATTCTCTTCTATGCTAAAGAAAGATTTAGTCTGCCTTCAATTAAAAAGAGAAGAGCACCTACATTGAGTCAAACTAAAGGCCATACTACTGCACTACTTCATTTCCAACAGCAGCCAGTAGCAGATGCTGGGGAATACTAAACAAACAGGCCAAGCACACAGTGATGCATTCCCCATAATATTCTCCCAACCTCCATGCAATTTGTGGCTGGTCAACTTCCTGAACCAGAAGTCACATGTTTCTACCTAACAGCCATGGACACATTTTTCTTCCATGAATTTATGTAACTGCTCCTTGAATCTAAGGACATATTAGTGTCCACAATACTCTACAAGCAGTGCTGTGGCTTAACTTCATGCTATTTGAAAGTCTTCTTTGTTTTTCTTGAACCCATCACCCAAGAGCTTCACCTGATGTTTCCCAGTTCTTAAACCAGTACAATGACAAGTTGCAATTCTTTGCAGTACTTAAAATTTTATAAAATCCTATAATATACTTACCTTGTACATTTAATTTCTTCCTGTACCTCTTTAAAAGTAACACTAGCTGCTATGACAAGTGTACCTTGCTTCACTATTAAGTGTACATGGACACAGAGAAGGGCCACAAAATCACATTTCTCCTTTTAAGAAAGATCGAGGGTTCTGACCATTGAGCTCTTATTTGATTTTGTACATAAACCAGTTGTAGTGGAAACTCACTTCCACTGATTGTCCCTAAAGGTTCCAGCAGAACCTTTCAGAAAAAGGTTCTAGGATGAAAGCTTAAAGAAAAGTTTTTCCTACACACAAGTGCACCACAGAAAGCAAGTTCACATTACAGAATTCAAAAACACATATTGAGTTAAATGGGATGAAAATGCAAATTTATTTGCATTTCTTCTGTTTCTTCTTCACCCTCTCAAAACAGAAACTTACCAGAAATTATGATTAATATGGCTGCTGATTAAGATGGGGAAAGTTATGATTGATTTAATCTAAATGAAATAGTAGCTAGGGAATGTTCTAAAAGCTTGTGATTACAGCTCAACTAACATTGAATTACATTTTATTTCATGAAATGCTAAAGCATAGCCAATCACAACACAATTTGACTGGCTGCCTTAGGATCTCTCAATTCTAACAGACAGAAGTATAATGAAAAGAATAGTGAATAAGATATTTAATTATCCTTACTGGCCTTCTCCCAGAATGTGACAACTCTTAGTGACACTGACAGGACAGACTTGAAAATTTACTCTTCTCTTTTTCCAGAACAATACAAGCACTGATGGCAATTACCCAGCAACTGGGACACTCCTAAACTATAGAGTCATGGAAGTTGCATCACCCATTACTCTACTTCCATCATGCTTTACAGAAGCCCAGTAAAGCAAAAAACATGAATTTTGTGCATCATACTACATTTTTACTATTGAAAGTATGGACCAGAGAAGTTTTCTCTTAACTCAGTAACTGCCTAATTTTCTTTTTTACACCGCATACCATGTGTTGTCTTTGCCATACTCTTCCTGTTTAGGAAAAAAACAATCGGCAATAGTGTTTGAAAAAGAATAATTTAACTTCGTCCTTCTTTCTAAATAGTTTCCTTTCAAGAGACTCTTTTGCAATGCTGTATTACAGAGAAGATTATTATTTAGCTGTCCAAATAGCTTTCTAAATCTGACTCCAGCTCTGTGCTCTATCTTTTCTCCTTTTTATGCAACACTACTCACCAGACCTACTCGTGACAGCAAAGCACTGTCATGACAATTTGGTTTTCTCCCTTCTGCGAATCTGAGACTCTTTCAGTTATAATTTTATTACTTAAAAGACAACTGGCTCATGCTGCAAGATATGTTGTGCTGCTACATTAAAACATGACGGATAGAAAAAATGCCTTTAAGAGTACCTTGGCTGCGTATTGTTCCAAAGCACTGATGGTGTCTGGATCGATGGCAGCATCTCCTGTGTGCAGTCCTGCCACTGTGCCATCAGCCTGGATGGCTAAAATGGTGTCTGACTGTGGCATCTGCACCGTGTGGTGGATGTAGGCAGTGGTTCCATCCTCCAGCTGCACAGCTTGCAATGCACTCTGGTCATAACTGTCTGAGGAATGATAGTGCAAAGTGTTAGGATTCTGAAAGGAGTAGCAATGTGTTACCTGAGAAACTACTGCTCTTCAGGAAGTGTCTCCTGAAGTCATACACACATAGGAAATATATTAGAAATATAAACACTTAATACCATGAATAACACAGGAATTTGTTTTCAAGACAATACCTCCCATAGTTTTATTTCTACACTTACAAAAGTACAAAAAAAATTATACTGATCTAGCTTTATTTACAAAGGAAATCAGAACACAAATATGCTTTCCCTTTCAAATCCATTCATAATAAAATGAAAACAATGTAAGAGATCTACTGATATCATTACTTTAGATTTCAGAATTCATGGATTTCACATTTTAAGAAGAGAATTGCGCAAATTTGCAAAAGAAACACAAAATATAAAACTACTTTTAATAAAAGAGTTTTATATTACATTCTTTCCTCTTACTATTGTCGTTTGTAAAATGTAATTGTCTCACCGGTTTAAACAGATTTAAACTATATATTTGATTTTTTCTAGAGAAGTAACACTATTTCCAAGACAAGTGTAATCATCTTCTACAGAAATGTAAGTTATCATCCGGAATAAACACATTTGCATTCCTGACTGCCAGCTGGCACATTTTCTGCCCTACTACCTAATGGTATATACTCACTTTCATGTGTTCCTGGGATAAAATACACAGTGAAATACACTGGGTTTGATTACATTTATGACTGTTATATGAGGCCCAAGTAACTAACTGAACCAGTCTCATTCCAATAATTTTCAGATTTCACAAAGTTAAATAATCAGCACTGGGAAGCCCAGTATGTAAGATGATAGATCTTAGAGAGTATCCTATTTTATACTGCTAAAGTTCTGTTGAACACTGGTGTTAATAAATCCCACTTGAAAAACAGTTACCTTTTGAGGTGTGATGAATAAATGCCGTAGTTCCATCTTCCAGCTGAACTGCTTGTCCATCTTCCAGACGCAGGCTGTCCCCTGCTCAGAGGGAAACATTACAGCACTTCAGCAAGAGTTCAAAGAATCCACTGGATGGAAAGATTAAATACTAAATACCTAAGGTTACAAAATACCTAAGATCTCTCTATGACTGTTTCCATTAAAATATGAAATCAAGCTATTATAATGATTATTAATTATTTAATATTAATATTCATCAGTAACACATTATTTTATAACATATTTCTTGTATTATTGCACTCACTGCTTTTAGGCATAGGTACATGTTGAACATAAGCAGCAGAACCATCTTCTAATTGAATCACTTGGCCATCCATTAATTTACCATCTGAAATATACAGAATATTTTTAAGAGTTCTAATTGTGCAACACATCAGTTCTAACACACAGTTGACACTTTCTAGATTAATATACAATAAAACATCAACAAGAAATAATTTTTGGTAAGTAATAAACACGTGTGACTGTACACAGCTTTTAAATTCTGAGATTACAAAACACAGAAAAGGTCTGCTGTTCTATCTGTTAGGCAGAATGTTGGTATCTGGGTTGGTTGGTATCTGGAGAAGATCACTTCTCTTTCATTTGACTTCGGTTCTGAATTTCATTTTTGCATCTTATTAGTAGCAAAAATAAAGTATTTATGCTATGGTATTACTGTAATAGCTGTAATTTCCAACAGGAATTGGAACTTCAGAAGCATTGTACAGATTTTGCCAGACTTTGCAATCCAAAGAGAGGGTTAGAAAGAGGAATACCACTTCAATAGCCATCAGTGTGCAGTCCTTTTGCCTACCTTTAGAATTGTGCTGTATGTAAGCAGTGGAGCCATCAGCCAGGGTAACTGCTTGCAAACTTACACCTTCCATGTTTTCCAAGTTGTCACCATCTGGAAGGGAAAAAAGTTCACCTTCACTATAACTGGTGTGAAACCCTAGAAATCTCAACTTAAAGACCTCCAGAAGTTACTGCATCCCCTCAAAGCACATTGATTTGACAAATAATAATAGTAAGTAGCTCTTACTTGCTTTCTGGTTTTTGAACCTTATACACATACTAGGGTTGTATGTTCCAAGATTTTGCTCTGTAAATATGACAGCTAGAATATTATTATTATTTACCTTAACTAAAAAGAAAACACAATGTCACTGAATAAATAACTACACAGCTGAGGTTTTAGGAGAACTATGAATTAAATCATCAGAGCCAACAGTGAAATAATGACACACATACATGTACTGATAACTTTGTTTTGTACAACACCACTTCTCTAAATACACACAAAGCTATTTAGATAAAAATACAGATTTAGGAAAGAGTTTCTAATCATGTAAAATCAGAAAACATCAAGTTTAGGCCAATTTCAAGTCATTAATCTATTTTAAAACTCAATTTGTTTAATACACGCTTAGCTATAAACTGAATTCACAAAGCATAAACCAGTAAGACTATACTGAGAATAAAGTCAGATTCTTTTGTTTCACATATTTTTGACACATTTACACTTCTACTACCTTAATTATAATTTCCATTCAGAATTAAATTAGTGAACTTAATCAATCTAAGTTAATGGTTTTCTGTTGGACTTTTAATTCAAAACACACTACATGAACTTTGAGGTTTTATCCGAATTTCAAAGAGAAAATACAGAAAACTTAGTGATATTTTAACCTGAAGGTTCACCTTGCACAGCTACCGCTTCTGTTAGACACAGAGTCACGTGCTGGGCCTCCATTCCTCCTCCAGAAAATTCCGTCATTCCCTGAGAGTCTCGATTTATCTGAGCTAATAACATTGTCGACCTAGAAGGAAAGTATTCAAAAAGCAGAAAATTGAAATACAGAACCAGAACTAGTTAATCCCACTTTAATGCAATTTTTATACAGCTGCTATAAATATCTTATGTTACATTTTGCATTAAATAGATGCAAAGAATGATTGACTTATCTGGAAAATACTCCAAAGGAATAAAAGTTATCTGAAATAGTTAAGTATTACTCCGTCAATTAACTCAGATGTTAAGGACTTCAGGTAGCAGTTAGTAAATAAAAGTGCATCTACCACATTTAAATTTCATTTAAATACAAATTATTTAACCAATGTATAAAGAATAATGGTGGTAATGACAGTATAAATAATGACCTGTTTGCCCCCAGAATTGAAATAAAGATGACAATTCACCCATAGTCACCCATGACAACTTGACTTTATCTGTATAAAATAAAGATTTCTCCAGTGCCAGTAAGAAGTTTAAAAACAAAGACACACTGGGAGAGTCTATCTGAACAATTCAACTACTTCCCTAGATTCTCCAGAAAGGTTTCTCTTTAAACAAAAAACCAACCAACCAAAACAAAACAGTGTGTGCTTTAAAATAATGAAGTATCCCATGATAAAATCTGTCAATTAGACAAGAGGATGGTGATTAGGGAGTGACTGCTGTACCTCACAGAACCAGACACAGCCATCCCTTTGGATACTCGTATTTTTACCCAGGCGTGTTTTAATATGGGAGATCACATAACATATGGGAGATCATATCACAGCTTTTAATCTTAGTGTGGTTCTATGACCTGCTGCTTTATAATTCAAGGCTGAGAAGAATAATCTAGGAAGTTTTATTTATTTTTGAGTACCTTTACAAATACATTTAACTATTTTCACAATCCAGAAATTTGCTCTCAAATAAGCAATTCATTAACAGTCTCAAAGACCACTGAGAAAATTGTGCTTCTGTCAAAACTAAAGAATAAGGAGCACAAAATTAGACCATGTAGGTACTCCGAGTGCCTACTGTATTTAAAAAAAAAAATTGCCACACTTAATTTAGTAGTTGAAAATTATACCCAAGCAGTATTTTCCAAAATAAATTTCCAAATGTATAGCGAGCCAGACTATTTCCTAGAACTGCAGGCTAAATTTCTTATTTCCAATTAATGGAACAGATAGTTTAATAAAGGAAATGGAAAGAAAGGGTGCCTTTGGGAAGGTTTTAAGCCTCCTGCTTTCTTCATATTGAAAATCATACAAGAAATAAAAAAACCCACACATTACTAATGATCAGTGCATAATTCTGCAAGAAACATGCCTTCCAATATTAAAATCCTCCCTAATTTCTATTTGGAACATTAAAGACATTAAAATATTGGTTTGCAATGAGGAATTTGAACCTTGAAAAACTCTAGCATCAAAAAGAAGATAAATTAAGATGGAAACCAAAGTACAATTTGAAATGGTTTTTTTTTTTTTAACATCCAAGAGAAGATGAGTAATTCCTCCCAACATTCTTTTCAGGAAAATAAACTTTTACAGAAAATGAGGCCTCTAAAAGATATGTAATATACAAGAAAATGAAAAGCCATCCAGACTAAATTGCATTTACATAAATGTTTCTGAAGAAAATGAAATAGGAAAGTTTGTTTCGGATGCTATAATCTAGGGGCAAGGACTTGTATGCAGATACAAGAAATCCTGAGTTCAACCTCTTCCTCTGCCATGTCCATGATTATGACTTTGGACAAGTAACTTCTTTCCCAAACGCTCATTTATCATCCCCCATCTCAAAACAGGCAGAAAACTTTTACTTAGGAGGCACTTTGCTCACAAACCGAAAATCAACGTGCTGCAGCTACAGAATCAGCCTAAGCAGGCACTGAAACGAAGCAGCCCAGCATTCGTGTACTACACAGCAAGTAAGTTCAGAAAACTGTTGCAGTAAAAAAAAAAAAGCCAAACAAACAAAGGAGCAGCAAAAGGAGTTTTATCCAGATTAGTCTGCAAGGGCTGTTTTTCTGGAGCTGCCAGCTTGAAGCAAATTAATTTAACTAATTGTGGTATTTTTATGCCAGTGGTACACAGACTGGTTGTCCTCTGAACTGTTAACACAAGTCTGTATTGTCAGTATTTTCCATGCACTCAGTTTTCAGGACACCTCATGGAAGCAGGCTGCAAAACAGCTAGACCATTTCACACAGCAGGAAAGAGTGGCTTCACAACCAGTGGTTTTGACTAGAACTAAAGTGAAACAATTCCAGCAGATTGTGCACCTCAAACGCCTTTCAGCTCGGGTCTACTCGATGAGTATTCCCTCTCTTAGACAAAGTATCTTTTAAGAATTCCCAGTACCTTTAACATCTGCCTTCCTCCAGAACTCAGGGCTCTTCTCTCACCTTCAGGCAGCTGTGAATGAACCAGTCAATGCAGACAGCTGCAGAGTTCTGACAGAATCTGAGCAGAACTAATTGCTGAAGGGCTAAATAACAACTTTGGAAGAAAAAGAAATCTAACACCAGATAACTTCAAGGGCTGAACGAGCAATAGTATTTGTTTAAATTGTTTCATAGTGTTTGTTACTGTAGCTGGCTGACTAGTTGCTACCACACACAGAAAAAAAGAGTCGAAGGGAACCGCTGCACACAGAAGAAAGTCTATGACTTTCCTCTATTCCAGATGACCTGGACAATCATACAACCTCACATGAGAGGGCAGCAATGCTGTTGGTGTTTCTCCCAATTCTAGCTCCTTTCCAATGGTCACTTCCAATATATCCTTTTCTCAATTCTCCATCCTTCCACTAAGTTCCTTAGCCCCATCTCCACCCCTTCTCCTTGAAGTACCAGTTTTCTTCTTCAGTCCCATCATGGTACCAAATTTCCAGGACATGCCTCTTCACTATCGTAACTCCATCCTTCTTGTCAGAATAATCTACTTATTAATATTAATATTGATACTTCCATGTCCACACCAACTCCTGCAACTAGTCCCCAAGTCTTCTCTTGCTACTGGTTTCTTCTATGTCCCACTCACACCCCTGTCTATGCCCTTCTTGCCTCTCTGTGTCAACACTTCATGTTCAGACTCACCTTGGAAGTACATCCCCCACAAGAGACTGGAGCACTGGGATCCTCCCAAACACCAGCCCCCAGCTTTCACTCACTGTTCAGGGACAGGGACGCGGCAGCTTTGCTCTGTCACTCTGCTGTGCAGGGACGAGAACCCTCAGACAAAAGTGGATATGCTACTCCCTTCCAGGCTCTCCTCTTTCTCCCCAGTGGAGAACACTACGAACCACACAGGGCTATGAGTTCTGGGGAAGAGGAAAGATGTATACTTGGCCTGTGCTGGTAAAGGGTCAGTCAGAGATATTGATGCTACTGCACTACTTTTTAAGAGTGGTCAAATACAAGGAACAAATTGCCAAGACAGGGTATGGACTCTCCATCCTTGTACAGGTTCAAAGCTACTTCACACAGCCCTGGGCAGCCTGGTCTCATGAGACCTGCCTTAATCAGGGCTGAACTAGGTAACTTCTGAAAGTCCTCCCAAGTTCAACTGCTGACAATCACTTCAATAATGCATACATCCACAACAGCATCACCTTGCTGTTGGTTTATCATTCACCCTGCAAATCTASGCTCCATTTTTCAATTTGCCTTGTTTTTTCCAAACCAGTTTGTTTCCATCAAACTCAAATCTCTTCCCTTGCCTCCACTTTAGTGACTCTCTTCCRATTTCTCCTCAGCTTCCATCAAATTTATCTCCATCCTTTTTCCAATCTCAATCCCACCAGCTTCTTTCCCTAGTCCACCTCACTGCTTTTATTCCTCTGCATTTGCATCACTAAGCTTTCTTCTTTAAATCTCCTGTCTGCTAGGRGTTCTCTCACTAAAAATCTTTGAAAGATTTCCTTTACCCACTTCAAATATTGCAACTGATTAGTTAAAAGCAGTTGAAAGCATTCATTTTTAGGGAACAACAGGAACCCTGGGGTGGGGCCTGCACAGCAGCTCAGCAAGATTGACACGTGGATTCTGCTTAATCACAAGAGTTGTCTTAAAGAAAAGACAAGCACAGGCTCAGTCACAAAGTACTCCCTGAAGTGAAAACGACACTTGACTTTGTGAACTCTTGCAAATCTTCACAGATCATAGCAAGCTGCAACTGTCAATTATCAAAAGCACATCAATGACGACATTTGGGAAGACTTTTACAAGGACAGTAACAGTATCTTGCATTCCTGAAATGATTAGTCATCACAACATGTCTATGGTATCCATGCAGGGAAAATATTACCATTCTTTAGGATGGTTAAAACTCTTCTCAGGAAAAATCAGCCCGAGACAAAAAAAAAAATTAGACTGAAAATCTCTGAATGGAAAAGTGTCTGACAACAGGCAGCCACCCCCACTGTAACACTGATACTTTTAACAGGCATCCAGCGGAGCACAAATGTGCAAACTTTTATTTAAAAAAAAAACAACAAATCACCACATCCTGCAAATATCTGAGAAGGAAAACTAAACTCAGGCCCACATTAAACCTTCAACACTTGAAAACCAAAGGCATGTGGCAGGGGGGAGAGGGTGGTTAAAAATGTAAGAATTTTCACAAAGACTTCATCAAGTTGTGTACCTAGAGAGCACCTCCTGTATTTTTCCCTTCAATAACACTCACACAAATAGAATTTCTGGGTACTATCACTTGTTTTGGAGAAAAGCTGCAACAACAAAAAAAAGTTTTCATGTAAACTCAATCTAGCAACTGGAAACAGGAATCTCTGCTAAAAAACTAGGAATCAAGCAACTAGGAATCAAGAAACAGCAGGTGGAATTCAGGCAGCTGGAAAGCAAGGGAGGAGCTGGCAGAGGCATGGCTGTGCTGGAGCAAAAAGGTGTTTGGGACACTTGGGAACTCCAGCAGGTTAGAGGACAGCATGAGGAGAGCCCAGTGGAGCTGGAAAATAGCAGGAATTTGTCATTTAAAGAATGACTGTACCAATATTGCTGGACAAAGGAAAAAATCCGGCAGTGACRGTAGCACAAACTCCTTGGAGAGATAAAGATGATGCTCAGAGGATGATTAAGGGGAAATGGAATCAAGTTTGTAATAGCAGCCATGGAAGAAAACTTAATATTATAAAATATAAACTTAAAATGTGCAGAAAAAAACTGGGAAAGAATGACAGGAAAAAAGCTACTCCAGACACTCATCAACCTAGTGATTGTTCACACCCCTCATGCAGACAGCATTGAGAAGTTTGAAATAATATGCATTTATTTCATTTGAAAAGAAACATCACTTTTATTTTTAATACATGTCTAAATAATGTACAAATCCATTTTAATTTTGTAAAACATAAAAATAGCAAAAAAGCAATCAAGAAGGGTAAGATGGCAAACAAAACAAAGCTTCACATAGTGAAATTTTCATTAAGGAATTCTAGAAAACTGTATTTCCATGTTTGACAAAGACAGATCCCAAAATGAATCCAAATATGTTCATACAGTAACATAATTAAATACTGGCTACCTTTGGATCCTTAACAACTGATATGATTGCAAATAATTTCACAAAACTAGTCTGAGTAACAAATGTGTGAAAAATCAAAATTAATACTGACACTTAACAATCTAGTTAAATACACTTCAACTGATAATTAATATGCATTACAGCCTTCTTCTCAGTGCAAAAAAAGTCTGTCAGACTGGAAAACTGACTATTCCACACAAAGTTTTTTCAGACAACCCAAGAGAACTTCTAAACTTTTTCCCCCCACTAATTACAGAAAGTCATTTGTCATCTGTAAGCTGAGAAATAGACCTAGGAGAACTAAGACTCTTTTTACAATCTTACTTCTGCTCCCATACATAGATGCATGCTAATCTTTTCCAGTATAACAGCAGCAATCCGTAGCAGGGTCAGAAATTAAATCTAGATCCTGTGGGTACTTTGATCAACACTTCAGTGGTCTATGCTGTGGTCAGTCAGACTGACTTTCAGTGAGTAAGTGTAATTGTAACAACTACTTAATTTTGGACACTTCTAAATTGCTATATGCCTTGTCACATTTCTTTTAGTGTATTTTCTCCAGCTCTTGTAAAGGCATAACATAATTAAACAGCAATTTCCACCMCATTAATCACCCACACTACAAAATGGAAACAAGGTTGAAATACAGTACAGAGACCTCTCGTACAGAATCTAGTAGCAACAGTTGGATTTAGATAATTTAATAGCAAATCTCACAATCACTTTCTAATTTCTTACATGGTAAAGAAGTGTTGTGCATTATAAACCACAGTCTTTAAGTCTGGTTGAGGAGAAAAATCTGACCAAGACTGAGAGCACTATCAAGAGCATAAGCACAACATAGACATTTTGAAGCTGAGGTCTGCAGTCAAACTCAAGGCTCCTTTTTATTCTTTCTACAGTATTTCAACATTTCTATTCCACAAGAGATACCTCCTAGTAATAATGCAGCTCAAGACTAATTCACTGCCACAGTTTGGTACCTCTTCATAAACAAAAAATAAATGCAAGACCAAATTTATCACTGTGTTAACCACACATCAGTCTGACTTTGGTGTATGGAGTGACAACCACACTTAGCCTGACAAAATTACTTCATGTCCCAGCATTCTTTTCCCCCCAAATGTCATTATCAGTTTCTATTGTGAATCCCATCTACAAACTGTGAAGTTACTGTCAGATCTCAATGCTTACATTTTACAGATAAATAAAAAAAAAAACTGGATTAACCAATGCAAATAAAGAATATTTACAAATCCTTACTCTAACTAATATTATGAGATTATGTATATGTATGTATTTTCACACTGTGGGAATGCTAAAGTTGCTATTATTTTCAAATGTATGGCATTTAAACAGGCAGATGAGAAAGCCACCTACCAACAAGTCCCACACATGTAGAGAAGACTCAGGCTGATCCCAAATATGACTGCTACCTTCACACCTTATTTGAATGTATTAGAGAAGAAATTACTGGCTAATGAAAGGAGACCAGCGTAGTTCCATCAGCACGAGAGCTGTCAGCAGTGATGACAGAAGCTAATTAAACTCATGTTGCAGCTCTGGGACAAGCACCTCACAGCAAATACCCAGTTCCATGAGCACAAGTGCCCTGGGTGTACTGTTCCAGCAGCATAGCTCTGTTCCAGAGTTTTGAAACAGATTTGGGAGTCTTTCAACAGACCAATTCCAAAAATCTTGCATGGAAGCTGACAAGCAACTGAGGTCCATGCAGCAGCGTTTACAGAAGTACAGACACCTGGATTCCAAAAATTTTATATTAATAAAGTATAAAAAAGCATATTAATGCAGCTGGTCAATGAGCAACACTCTAATGACACTAATGACAGAGTTAGTAGGAATAGTAGCACACAGCAGCAGAGGTTTGGCTTGTAGAAGGGCCATCCATATAATCTGTACCAAACACCAAATTCAAGTATGACTGAAACATCCATGTGTCATTAGGAACGCTTTTCTGTATATGGAATGGCTTACAGACCTGCTGCGAATGCAACAGTGGAATGCCCCCCAAAACAAGTCAAGTTTGTCCTAACTCAGGTGGTAGTCCTTGCTCAAAGATAAGATACATTCCTCCTCTCCTGGCCAAACTTGTGTTATCGATGCTTAGGCATACCTTCCTTTCTAAAATCCTTCAAACCCATTCCTTTATTGCAGACTGACTGGTAATAAACTACCTGTGCTTTAATAGTAAAAAAAAACTTAGGATAAATAATCAAAGTGCACACTCAGAAAAAAAAAGCTGAACCTGTGGCAGGTCAGTTAATTTTCTGAAAAAACTTAGAACATAATTAGCAAAGATGAAAAAATGCCAACCTTAAGTAATTTTACTGCACGTTAGTGAGATAAAGCAATTAATTCCAAATGGATTTTCACCCTGGATTTATGAAGGGAGAAACAGATTTAAAGCACCTAACAGATGAATCTGTGTTTTTAAAACTACTGTTTTTTTGTTTGGTTTGTTTTTATCACCAAGTGTATAAATAGCTAAAATAGGTATCAAGAAGGCATCCAGGTTATGCATCTGACAACTGAATCTGAGGTACTCCTAGAAATGAGCAGTGATTCCTATTTACACTAAAAATACATATTTAGATACAGTTAACTTCCAAAACACTTCATGGGCTACTTCTCCCTAAAATCGTAAGATCTCCAGTTATATTGGTATTTTAAATATAACTGGGAACAGCTGGTGATTAGATGAATACTTAAGGACTAAAAATTAAAACAAACTGAGACCTACTATTTCCATTGTTTAACTTTCATGCTAAACAGACTTCTAATTTTTTAACTGTCAAGCAACCACAAGTCTTACTTACATCACCAAAATAAATGAATCCTGGGCATGCCCTTTCAATTCCTGCAAATCCACTGAGACGGCCAACAAAAAGARGAATTTTGAGTGCGTTCTTTTGTGTGGCTATGAGTTAATTAGCAATCTGATAACTACATTACAGATGTATCAGCATTAGCCATGACATTAACGGCAGCGCTTTAGCACAGGCTTGTATTTCAGGAACTGGAGGGGAAGCCTGCTGGATTGCCAAAGCCTGATTACAAATATAAACTGAAACACAGTACATCTAAATACATCCTACAGAACTCTGTGCTGTACCATATTAGCCATGTATGAATATAGTTAAAATATGAGCAAACCAGCTTTCTTGCAAACATGGACCCATCTTCCAATTCTAGAAAAATATGTCACCAGAAATTAAGAGCATTAAGCAGGTAATACAATTTTCTGCTCAAGTCAATATAGAGGAAAACGTTCTGCAGAGAGGAAAATACAGACTGAGGGAAGAGTTATGTAGTTTTAAGCATAACTCAGATGTCAGCCTTGAAAATTGCAAAACCTGATGCAACTGCAAATTCTCGTCAAAACCAAAAACTTCATTTATTTAACAAGTGTTATCTTGCTGGAGCAAAGTACAATCCTACTACACACAAAAATGTCATGTAATCCAGAAAACTGGCAGACTAAGTCAGTGATAGCATTTACTAATTTAGTCAAATTTGGTTTTGAGTAACTAATCAATGATCCCTAGTGTACAGAGGGATCAAAGCAAAATCGCATTCCCTTAAGTAAATACAACTAAGGGCAGAACAGGTTACACTTAGGTACAGGCAAAATCCCATAAACACCCGTGTCAAGATGGGTCACAAGGCTTCCTTCCCCTCCTCCCTAGAAATGGTATCCCTGGAGACACACTCTCACATTTGTCATTCTATGCTTAGAAGAAGACCTGTGTACACCTCTAATTAGAGCAACTTGCACTTCAGAGCTAAACTCTTAGATTCAAGAGGATACATCAGTTTGGATAACAATCTACCTCAGGGATCCATGAGCTAAGCAGAAACCTTCCTCCCATCTTTTGGCATCTTTTGTGACAAAAGCCACAGGAAGGGACTAGCCAATTCACGCTCTTTTAACCAGGTACACTGATTTCTTTGCACAAGAGATGAAAAACCAAGCTGCCCCCAATTAACGCTGAGCAGAAAGCATTGCTGGTTAGAGATGTGCAGGGGATGTAGCAGCGACACAGGAAAACAAAATCAGTGACAAGGCTGGCCTAGGATGCTGTGCTATGTACTTACAAGCCAGAGGCTGCAGGAGTTATAAAAGACATCATAGGAAGCAGAAGGGATGACCAAGGAAGCAGSTACAAGTCAAAACGCAGACAGGAAGAGTAAATAGAAGAGCACCAAGAGGAGTCCCACCTTCCTCATGAATATTTGCATTCCGGCCATTGTAAGGCCTGACAATGGAAGAATTGCCCTGATTATCGAGGTGTAGGGAACCTCATCCAAATTCAGCCAAGCCCTTTGGAAAGCAATTTGCCTCACAGGTACCAGCTAAAGACTCCTCATAATCCAACAGTGCTTCTCAAAGACTATGCTGAGCTGAGCACGTGTTAGTGTTAACTCAAAACGCTTAAGGTGAAGACTCACATGCAACAGCAAGGAAAGACCAGAATCCCGCAGTCCAAGTGAAGCCATCCTGACCAAACTAAAGCTCATCCCACCATCTAATCTGTTGATTAGATGAATACTTCAGGGCTAAAAATCTCATCCCAGCCCCTGTGCCCATCCCACAGAGCGGCAGTGAGGAGCCGCAGCAGCAGCCAGCACTTTGGCCTGCCCACTGTTTTAACTCCTGACAATTCCCTTCTTCTGGGCAGTACAGAACAGTAAAATGTCCACTGAGCTGAAGCAACACACTACTAGAGACATTCTAAAGAAAAAATACCTAATTTACAGCCTAATTTTGGCACCTTTACCAGGCACTGTTCATCACCTGACTATATATCGCCGTGGCTCTCCTATGAGAAAAGCAGCAAAAGCTACACAAGAATGAAGACAGAGTGAAGTCAGTGTAACTGTTAAAGAACTTCTACACTTGTTTAAGTATTTGCTTAATTTGAGCCTTAAATATAAAGCAAAATGACTTTTCCTCAGATAGGGTAATAGAAATGAATTATTACAACGAGAACAGTTTAGGTAAGTGATTAAATAAATTACACTTCTCAAAACTCTTTCAAAAAGTTTATTTTTACGTCTCGTTTACGCTGTAATCCATTACCAAAGCAATCATCTATTATATGACTACTTACTCCTGAGGTTCCTGTTCTGCAGTGATACAGACAAATTGCTTTTGACACAAACACACCTCGAAAACAATGCATTAATGGAGAAATACAAAGAAGCCATGAGAAAACGGCTACATCGTACTCTGCCGTTCTAAAGCTGCACGGCAAACGAAAAAAGCTAACAATATACTATGTCTATGTTAAAAGGCTGCTAATTAAAGAGTCTAATTTAATATTTCAGGTACCATCACCTAAAAGCTGTAACAGAAGCATCTGGTATACAACGCAGAGACATTTGAAGCAGAATCCCGGTGACACAAGTAGAAATGTTTGCTTTGAAAGACTGTAAGGCTGCAGTTCCTGTGTCACTGGACCAGAAACAACATTCCTTACAAATAATGGTATCACTCTGCATATGATGGTAGATGCCATTCTCTGATAGTTCAAAATAAACCCTTAAAAAAACTGTAAACTTAAGTGGAGCTGCTCAACCACAGCCTTAACACAAAATTTAAACTTGTAGGCAAGTCACGTCCTTTTTTTCTGGAGGAAAAAGCACCACAAATAAGGCCTTATCAGAAAACAAAATAAAAATATTTGCGTTATTGTGCACCATTGTGGGCCATTCTAGAGGAGCAGCGTCTCATTATCCAGTTCTATTATAAGCTCTAGAGGAAAAWTGATGGAGGGACCGACAAGAGCAATTGTAAAAAAGAAAAAAAAAGATAAAAAAGTATTTTAGCATTTTGTCGAGGTGAACGAGACGCAGCAAAAAGCTGGCTTTCAGAAGGCAAAAAGGTGCCAGGACATTCTCCCGTGAGAGCGTGGCCACGGCCGCGCAGAAACGCCGCCACTCGGGGCAGGAACAGCGGATTTTCCTCCCGGTGCCTGTGCGGGTCCGGCCGCGCGCCGGGCCCAGACAGCCGTGGCCGCCCCTGCTTTAATGCCGCCCTACAGCCGATAGAATGGAAATACCGCGTTTGAAAAAATAATAGTAATTTTAAAAAAAATTCAAATCGGGAAGAAAACCCCCTAAACAACGGGGAAAATATACAAATAAATGAGCCCCCCCGATTTAGGCAAGGCGGGCGCGGGGCCCGGAGCGCCCCGGCCCGTGCCCCCCTCGCCCCCCGCCCGTGACGCAGCGCCGAGCGGGCCCAGGGAGGCGGCCCGGGGGACCCCCGCGGGCCCGGCGGGCGGGGAGGGGCCGGGCGGGCCCCGTGGAGCGGAGCGGCTTTATCGCCGCGGCTTTGCGCCTCGGGTCGGTGCCGCCCGCGCCCTGCTGCCCCTGCCTGCCTCCCCGAGCACCGCCGGCGGGCGCGGCGGGCGCGGCGCCGCGGCCCCGTCCGGAGATGGCGGAGGGAGCATAAGGCACACTGGGTAAAAGCACATTTATATACGAACCTCGCCGAGAAATTTTCCAACAATTCCTCCGTCCGACCACCATGCACCAGGACAGGAAACGGCTGCTCGGCACCGCCCGCCCGCGTGGCACCGCCCCGCGCCCTGCGGGCGGGGCCGACAGCGCCGACTCCGCCGCTCCAATTGGTCGCGCCGCGCGCGCCGCCGCCGCCGCTGCCTGCCATTGGCCGCCTCCGGGCCGTGCGGCGGTGTCCATTGGCCGCGCGCCCGCGGCCCCGCCCCGCGGCTTCACGGCGTCGCGGCTGTGCCGGGCGCGGGGGCGCCGCCATTTTGTGCCGCGGGCAGCGAGGCGCCCTCGCGCCAGCGGAGAGCGGCGCCATTTCCTGCCCTCCCTCGGCGGGCCCCGCGCAGGACCGGCAGCGCCTGAAGCGGTGGCSACGGGGAGGGGACGGGCAGCGGCCGCCGGCTCCCCCGGGAGCGGATCTGGCTCGGTCGAGGCCATCCGGGCCCCTTTGGGCATTGCGCGAGTCCCTGCGGGGCCGCATGGCCTGGATGGATGCAGCGAGCCATCTGTCCTTCCCTTCCCGCCTCCTGCCGCATTATCTCCGGGCCCGGCTCTGGGGGATGAGGACACTGTGCTTAAAGCTATGCTTGGGAGTGTTTATCCGTCCATGATTTTTAGGTACGGAAACGTGCGCTAAATAGTCCAATAGCTCCCCGTCTAAGGCAAGCAAAGGGTTACGATTAATTCTGTGGGTGATTGTTTAAGAAAACTGTTGCAAAGTTGATGCGAATCATCACCACTGTTGGGACAGTAAGCCCAGCTCTGGTGGATCTACTCCATCTTCCTGAACATGAGAGATATAAAAACATTGACGTTTTGCTCCAGAATAATAGTTCGAAAGTCTTGCAGTCCGAAATCCTGGCAGTTGCTCAAGCCAAAAAAAGCTTATTCCCAAAGAGGCCTAAGAGCAAGCAGTTTTTCTTTCTTAGTTAACTGTTTCCTGATTGTAATTTTTTAAACCAAATGCCAACTGCAGCCATCAGTTTGGTTTGAGATACAGCAACAGTGAAATACCCGAGAAAAAATCCTATTTCTGATGCCCCTATATTAATAGATTATTAACATCTCTGTGAAATGCAATAGTTCCCATGTTCAAGTGCTTTGTTTCCAGCATCGACCTTTTGCTAGAAGAAGCAGAAATAAACAAACCAGTGACACACCATTTAAGATAAAGCCACATTTTGATTAAATAGTAACTAATATTCAACAGCAAAGCTTTTCAATGTTGCTCATTCTGGATGTGTAAAGGTTCCACAGAGAAAATAATGAACCCACAGACTTTACCAGGTATATCCATTACTAGAGGATTAAAATCATATGCATGGTTACTGACAGGTAGTCAGCAATTACTCCACTGCAGACTTCATAAATCTCGCAGTAGTAGTCCTAGGCTGTAAGATTTGAAGAGAGCTTTGCTGCACTACACTGACACCTATTAATTCTTTTAAGGTAGTGAGCTGGGGAAAAAAAAGATTAAATTTACCCAGTATGTCAGCATTTTTACACACACTTGAAGAGAATTCTGGTCGTGCCTAACATTTGTTTGGAGAAGTATTTTGGAGAGGGAAATACAAACCTTAGACCTGTGCAACTCAAGCAGGACTCTACTGTAAGGATACAGCTACATTCAAAACACCACACTGAAATAAGTGAAGATAAGGATTTGCTTTAGATGTTTATTAATCCAAGGAGATCTTCCATAATAGAAAAAACAGAGGCTTTAAATTTCCCAGCTCTTCCTTTAGAGTTGCATTATCCTTGAAAATGGAATAGATAAGTGCAAGTTCTAGGAAGGAAGATCAGTTTTTAATTTGACATAAGTGTATCACTGAAATTCATATATTGCATCACAAAATGCACTATCACCACCAACAACAATGCAAAATTGTTTTGCAATTTATATAAATACATTTCTTGGAGCAAAGGAAAGTAAAGTTCTAGATCCATTCTTAAAAAA